TGTCGCTCCTCCTGGCCCCACTGGAGAGCAGAGGATGTGCCTCTCCTAGAGAGGCCTGGTGCACACACGCAGCCCTGCAGTGTGCCACAGGGACTGCTCTCAGCTGATGTCTGTATTGACGTCGAAGTCTGGCAGAGGTAGCAGCAGCCTAGAGGAAGGAGATTCCACCTCCCCTCCCGGGTGCCTGTCTTTGGTATTCTTCCTGCTAAAACGAAGCTATGCCTCAAAGAATGTGAACAAGAATAAAAAGAAAGGATTCTAATGTGTGTGTAACTTGTGCTGGGTAAAGGGGTCTTGGCACTTTCATATGTGGCTATTTGGGGTTTCCTGAAAGTCCCGTGGCTTGGCCTGCCAGTTTGACAAGTGGGCTACCACCAAGTTTGGAGGTGGTAGGGTTTATTTTAAAAAGTAGTGTCTTAGTCTATTTGGACTGCTGTAACAAAATACCATAGACTGGGTGGCTTAGAAACAAATTTATTTCTTACACTTTTGGAGACAGAAGTCCCAGATCGAGGCACCAACAGATCTTGCATCCTGGTTCATAGGTGTCACCTTCTAGCTGTGTCCTCGCCTGGTGGCAGGGGAAAGGGATTTCCCCTGGGTCTCTTGGAAGGACACTAAGCCCAACCATGCGAAGCCTACACTCATGATGATTTAATCATCCCCAAGGCCCTACCTCTTTTCAATTTAGGGGTTTCAGCAATTAGGACTTCAGCATATAAATTTGTGGGGGACGCAAACTTTCAGTCCATAACAAGTTATGTGGAGGGAGAAAGTTAAAAGTCTTAGTGTAAAGTCTTGCTTTAGCAATGGGAACCAACTAGTTCAGGTTTTGTTTCTAAGGCTCAACTGCCAGGCCCAATGTCATGCCCTCCTGCCCTTTCTGGGCTCAGTGGGGCTGTCCCGCAACCCTGCAGCCAGGTCCCATCAGTCCAGATACCTCCTTTCTCCACCTCCCTTGCCTTTCCGTGTGGCCCCACAAGTAGGTAGCAAACTCAGCCCTCTTCGTGCAGGTGAGAAGCCAGAGCATCTTGGTGTTCCCCAGGAGTCAAAGTTGGACTCACTTCCTGTCACCACAGATGACAGATGAGGCCTGGGGAGGGCTCTGGGCCATGGGGGCTCTAGCCACCCCAGCTGTGCCCTTTTCACTTGCTTCAGCCCTTCCCACACCATTGTTATCTCCTCATGGGAGACCCCTACCCCTTCCGACGGTGGCTGCAGGAGGCAAGGGGAGCAGGACAGTGTGGGACGGGTGGTGGGTAGGCCTCCCGGCACAGAAGCTGCAGCAAGGGTCGGGGGTGGGAAACTGGCTTAATCAGGGTCTGTTCCAGCCACTGTCAGGAGCTGCACCTGAGCCTTGGTCCCTGGTACTTTGAGCCATTTTACTGGCAGAGGGCAGGCAAGGGAGCAGCCCGGGCAAAGCCTGTGCCTCGGTCCTCCCATCTATATTATGGGGAATCAGGGACACCTACGTCCCAGGTGGCTGTGAGGTGCAACTGGGGTGGCAACGCTGGCCCATCTGGCACACAGTGAACTGCCCTGGAATGAGACTGCTGGGCGTCACTGCCCCTGCCCTTCCCACGTCTCGACGCCCCAGCACAGCAAGGCCCTCCCAGGCGCCAGGCGAGCCCACTGGTCACGAGGCCGGAGGCCACAGTACAGGAAGCTTGGTCCAGAACCCTTCTTAGGCAACCGGCCTGACCAAGCTGGTGTAGGCCACTCTGTGGAGGCCACCTGCTTCGGGCAGCTCAGAATGCTCTCGTCATTCTGTGGTTTTATAGGGAAAAAACCAAGATGAGTTAAAAGGGAGAGAAATGTACATGGTTATATCACCTAGTTACTGTCTGGGATTTTATTTCTAGCCGGAGAACTGGACACAAGTCACCGTTTTTGCTAGGAGCTTTCTCGGGACCCATGCCCTGGGCTGGCATGGTCCTGGGCCCCACCAGCTGCTAGATGAGCTGCTGAGAAATCCCACACTCTCCCCTTTGACCTGAGGACAACCCCAGCTCTGCATGCCTGGGCAAGCCATGTGCGGACTCAGCCCAGGCCCCAAACGTCTTTGTAAGCAGGTGATTCTACTTGCTCAGAATACAGGGATCACCAGACCGGGATGGGGAGGACTGCACAATGGAGAATATAAACATTAATTTTAAAAACGTCACCTATAGATCATCTTGGCTAACTGAAGAATAAACCTCACCAAAAAGAAAACATCCCCTTTTAGTAAACCCACTTCTTTTCAAGAATATTTAGCTATAGGGCAGTCCATGAAGGGGAGATCATTATCTCCCCAGAGCTGACCTGTCTAGCTGGCTTCCATCTTTGCTATTATTATGATTACTATTTTTTTTTGTTGTTTATTTTTTTTTTTAATTTCGTGGACGAGGTTCTGGGGCCCCAAGAGCGGGGCCCCGGAAGTCGCCCACTATTTTTTTTTTGAGACACAGTCTCACTCTGTTGCCTGGGCTACAGTGCCATGGTGTCAGCCTAGCTCACAACCTCAAACTCCTGGACTCAAGCAATCCTCCTGCCTCAGCCTCCCAAGTAGCTGGGACTACAGGCATGCCCCACCATGCCCGGCTAATTTTTTTCTATATATTTTTAGTTTGCCAATTAATTTATTTGTATTTTTAGTAGAGACAGGGTCTCGCTCTTACTCAGGCTGGTTTCGAACTCCTGACCTTGAGCGATCCTCCTGCCTTGGCCTCCCAGGGTGTTAGGATTACAGGTATGAGCCACTGCGCCCAGCCCATCTTTGCTATTATTAAAAAAATAGCCTCTGGGAGGCCGAGGTGGGCGGATTGCTTGAGGTCAGGAGTTCGAAACCAGCCTGAGCAAGAGCCAGACCCTGTCTCTACTATAAATAGAAAGAAATTAATTGGCCAACTAACATATATATATATATATATATAAAAATTAGCCGGACATGGTGGCGCATGCCTGTAGTCCCAGCTACTCGGGAGGCCAAGGCAGGAGGATTGCTTGAGCCCAGATTGAGGTTGCTGTGAGCTAGGCTGACACCAGGGCACTCACTCTCACTTTGGGCAACAAAGTGAGACTGTCTCAAAAAAATAAAAACCACTCTGAACAGAGTTTCTGTGCACACAGCTTTCTCATTAGGAGTTTCCTACGAGCGGACAGTATTCAAATATTGCTCAGATCCTGAAGGTCTGTGCCACACTGGGTTCTAGTCAGCTTAGAAAACATCGCCACCTCCCAACACCCAAACAGCAGGGAGGAGAGCAGAAAGGTCACAGTGGCTGGGTTTCAGAAATGGAAATGCACCCCCCCTGCTACCCCTTACTGCAACTTTGAAATTTGCTTTGGAATGGGAAAGCAAAGTGTTGATTCATACTCCCACCAGCAGTGCAGAGGCTGACTTGTCACTTGCATCAAGGAAGAGCAAAGTCACTTCAGCATCAGCCTGAAGAGCCCTCAGCTACAGCGGTCTTGCTGGCCCCAGCCTCCCTGGAGCACACCCGCCTAGAAGCCAGTGCCCAGGCACTTGGGGAGGGTGCGGCCTCGCCTTGAACTGCACAGGTCCTTTCCCCAGCCTGCCTTCAAGGGGGGATCCTTCAAGTGGGGATTTAGTGGGCCTTGAGGTTACACACCTCAGAGCCCCCAGGCAGATACCAGAGCCTGGGGAGGCTCCAGGGCAGGAATGGGTGGGAGTTGTTCCAACCTCTGCCCTCAAACCAGAGGCCCTCAAGCTGGTGACCATTTATGCCTGTAACACTTGCATTTTTCTCTTATAATCAGAAGCAGCCTTAAAAATAACCAACCCAATTTATTGAGGAAGCTAAGGTTGTAGTGGACAAAACTCAAACGTATCAAAAGGCAAGCACCGATGATGGCGAATGCTCCTGATCATCTCTGCACTGCTTGCCACTTCCAGGGACATCTAGCCCAGCTAGTTCAGTGGGCTGGGGCCGGGGAGGCCAGACTCACAGGATCACTCGTTGCTGGGACTTCTGAAGGAACTTTCCAGGTTCAGATTGCAGGCGGAACCCTGACACTCTCCCAGTGTGTGGGCTGGCGGTATAAAGTGGGAGGGTGGTAAGACCAGGGTGAGCAAGCTGAACCCGGGCCACCTTGTGTTCTAGTCTGAGACATCTGGACACTAAACAAAATCCAGATGAATGTGAACACCTCAAGTTCTTGGCTGCATTCCAGGAAAAGCAGGTAGTGAATTCACCCCAGAGGGCAGTGGGGGTCTCTGCCTGGTGTCATGGCAGCTGGTATCTCTAGGTGTGGGCACTAGCGCTGCTGGGCACATTGACCCTAGCTCCAGGGGAGCGGCTGGCTGGCACTAGGTTTCAAGGCCAGCTTACATGCTTGGTAGGGGAAGGCACTTAACCCACCAGAGCCTTGGTTTCCTCCATATAACGACAGGAGATGCTGTCCTGCAGGCAGCCAGGAGGCTGAAATCATGAGACTCCTTGCCCGGTGTCCAGTCTTGGTCTGGCCCAGCAAGGTGGGGAGTGGGTATCATTTTCTTCTTGGTCTTGCATTGCACAAGCTGCAGGACATGGGGTTCAACACAAGGATCAAAAAACTCCAGTCAGTGAGTAGGTGAATGGAAAAAAAACCCCAAAACTTCTGGTCATTTGGGGGGGAGGCAATTTCTTGTTGCACCACGTGCTGCTAACCTGACGGAGCCATCAGGCTTTGTGAAGTTTTAATTGCAATTGAGCCGACTGTAACCTCCCACCAGAGAGCCTCACAGCTGAATAAGAACACCCCATTGCAGACATTGTACTGAGGCTCCAGGGACAAAGGCACATGCCCAAGGTGGCAGACTGGGCCAGGGGAGTTGGGGGCCAAGCCCGAGTCTGTCCGACCTTAGAGGCCCGGCCCTTTTTGTGGTGCAGCCCAATCCTGCAGTCTGTGGTCTTGGCACACAAAGCAGTTGCCTGTGGAAACACCACAAATGCACCTGGTGTCCAGAATCTACAAAGAACTCCTACAACTCAACAACAAAAAGACAAATAACCCGATTTAAGAATGGGTAAAGTATTCAAATACACATTTCTCCAAAGAATACAAATGGCAAGTAGTAAGCCCATGAAAAAATGGTCAATGTCACTAGATAAATGCAAGACAAAACCACAATGAGATGCCACTTCTCACATACCAGGATGGCTGATACCAAAAAAACAAAAACAAAAACAAATAACAGCTGTTGCGGAGGATCTGTATGCATGGCTGGTGAATGTAAAATGGTGCAGCCACATGGAAAAGTTTGGTGGTGCATTAAAATGTGAAAACATGGAGTTACCGTATGATCCAGCAATTCTACTCCTAGGCATATGCCCAAAATAACTGAAAATAATCAAGCACTCACACACGAATGTTCACAGAAGCACTATTCACAGTGGCCAAAAGGCAGACACGACTGAAATGTCCCAACAAGTGACAGATGGAAGACAAAAAGTAGACTGGTGGTTGCTAGGGGCTGGGAGGGTAAAACCCCACAAATGCAGGGCCATGACCCACACCACTGGCTGAGAGGCTCCAGGAACAATTCCAAGAATTTGCACTTATAAAAATCCCTCCCTGACGCTAGCCAGGACATAGCCGCTGGTATCACCGAAGGGTATGGGCTGAGAGTCCCGAGATCAGAGAACAGTTCCAGTTTCTCACCAACTAGCAACACGACTGTGGGCAACTCGCACCTTATCTCTACTCCTCTTCTAAACTGTACAACCAGAGCCCATAGGGCTGCACGTTATTCGTAATGTTATTGTGAAGGCAAACAAGGAACGTGGCCACTGCTGCAAAGCACGGGCAATGGGAAGTTAGTGTTGAGTCTTGCACTGGGCATTTTCTCTGCCCCAAGGGACAAACTGTGAGGTGGGAAGAAGGTGGGCTCAGTGATTGTCATATGGACAGGTGGGCTGGCAGGGGACCACCAGGAACAGTGGCCTGCAAGAGGCCCCAGGGTGACAGCTCCCTCTAGCACTGGCCAGTGTTCGTGCCTGTCACTCCTGCAAATGTCCCTGGATGCTCTGCGCTGTCACTGGGCAGAGCGTGGGGCTGAATTCTTTCTTGAGGCACGTGGACTCTGGAGAGTCCTGGCTTTTAGGTGAAAAGGGGCTGAAGCTGCTCCGCTGAGAATGAGGGCTACTTCCCCACGTTACACCCTCCTCCTCGGGATGTCCAGGCTGCCCAGAGTCTGCCTGGGAGAGCTGGCTGCTCGGGGATTCTGCAAGGGAAGAAAGCCTCTTTTTTTTTTTGAGGCAGGGTCTCACTATGTTCCCCTGGCTGGTTTCAAACTCCTGGGCTCAAGAGCAACCCTCCCACCCCAGCTTCCTAAGTAGCTGGGGCTCTTCTTGCTTTGCACCAATGTCTAGTGTTACTGTGACCTAACTAGTGACTATCCTTGGCGTGGAGGGTCACAGGAAGCAGATGTGTGACTTCTCATCAGTGGCTATGGTCATTCCTGAGCCCTGGGCAGAGGCCCCTGTCCAGCAGCGCTGCCCTTCTCTAGAGCAGTGTGGATCTTGTGCTCCTTAACACGGGAAGGTGCCATGCTTTCTCAGCTTCCAGGACAATGAACAGCCGCCTGGTCTTGGTTAACTCATTAAGGGGACAGGTCTGAGAAAGTGGCCCTAACTACCCTACCCTGCCCTCATCTGTTCTGAGGACAGAAAGGACGAGTGTGTCCAGGCTGGTGGCAAAGGCTGCACTTGCGGGGTTTCTTAGCTGTAGCTGGGTCTGAGGAGTTGGCCCGGGGTCTTTTGCCTCTGGCCTCTGGCCCCTGGGTTCTTCCTCTCCCTCCTGGCCAGGGTGGGGCTCCCAAAGTCCCTGTGGAAAGAGTTAGGGGAAGACCAAGTTTAGAACTGACACACTGAAGTAGCAAGAAATACAGGTCACAGTGTTGGGTGGGGGCGTGTCCCGACTTTTACTCAGTGGTGTATACCTCACAGGCCAGGCCCCCTCACTCACCATAAGGTCAAGATATGATGTGTTTTCCATCTCATGTGACCTGATGCCTCCTCTAAAGAAGCCCAAGCTCCTGGAGACATTGTCCCATGCTCACTGCCCTCATAAGGAGGCACTCGTGTCACTGTGCTGGCCCTTCATAAGAGGCAGAAACCCAAGCAGGCAACAGAGACAAGCAGCCTGTGGCCTATAGCCTGCTCCCTACCTGCCATGCAAGGGGACCTGAGCTCTGGACCCCTCCAGGCCCTAAACAGGCCTCTTGGTGCTGGCTACCTGACGACCAGGACAATCCATCAATTGGCCTGGAGGTCAGATGCCACTTCCATCCAAGAAGGAAAATGAGTGGTCCTGGTATTCCTGAAGTGTGCAGGCCACACTACTCTCACACACAGAAAACATGGGTCTGTCACAGCAACGCTGTCTCTTGTCCCTGCAGCATGGGCAGGCGGCTCAGGCCTACGCTTTTTATTGAGTCTCTGGGTTCCTCTTGTACACGCAGAGCTGGTGTTAGTTGCCACCTGAGACAGCTTCCTTTATAAAAAAGGAGCCCTACGGAAGCAGATATCATCTTCTTGCTGAGGAAACTGAGGCAAGAGCCTAAGTCATTTGTTCAAGGTCACATGGCTACAGAACCAGAGCCATACAACCCCAAAGCTCTCATGAGGCCTTTTGGTCACTGTCGGATATTTACTTCAGCTCTGCTGTGCACCAGTGTGGCAGCAGCCATATTTCAAAGTGCCCTCACACACACCATCCACCTCGATCCAGTATCTGGGCACCAGTTCCCACAACACATATTTTTGGAACACTGGCCCAAGCTGTGTAACCCTGGGCAGGTTCCTAAATATCACCAGGGTCAGTTTGTTCATCTGAAGAAATGAGGCTGATGCTAATAACCTTGCCAGGGTTAGAGGCTGTGAAGAGGGCTTGGGCAAGCCTACGTCCAAATCGTGGGCTCTGTCGTTGTGTCACCCCGCACAAAGCCACTTTGTTGGTGTAGGCCTCACCTTCCTCCTTTGTAACACTGTGAACACAAGGCTTACCTGATGAGGATTAAAGAAGACGCATGTGAAGTACATTTAGCATAGTGCCAGGCACACAGAAGCTACCTAATTAATGGCGGCTACACTTTAATCTGGAATGAGGACTGTGTAGTTCATCCCTTTGCCGAAAGTGAGGAAAGAGATGCAAGGACAGTCCAGGTGCCCTTCCTGCTCCCACCATGATACTGCCCTGCCTTCTCTCTGCTGCCTCTGGTCTCTGAAGTGGGGACACTGTGAAAACCCAAGGCAGGGACTCGCATGCCCCTTTCTACCTCACCTGGAGCCATGTTCTCGTCGACCCACTGGAAGAAGCCGCACTGATGCTCTCTGGGCTTGGCACACGTATGGAATTGGCGCCCCTTGTTGGGCCCGTCCTTCTGCACGGTCCGTGTGACAGTGGGCTGACTGCATAGGCAGGACGTGCCACCACCACTGCCGCCATCACCAAGGCTGCCAAACCCACCTGGGTGGCTCCCTGAGCCTGGCAGGCGTCCCAGAGAGCCACCTGGGGGTCTTGATGCTGGGGCAGGAGGCCCTCCTGCTTCTGGATGGCCGCTGTCTGCCCACAGGAAGAAGTTGCAGCTACCTGCATTGCACTTATAGAACTGCCGGCCCTGGTTGGGGCCCTCCTTACGGACAGTGAGCAGCACGGCCTCTTGGCCACAGTTGCAGGTCACGGAGTTGCTTTCACCAGCAGTAGTGGGTGTGGGGAGGAGCTGGGCCAGAGCCTTGGAGGGCCCAGTCAGTCTGTTGCCAGGAGGTTGGGGGTTGCTGTGCTGGCTGCCATCCATCCTGTTCAGGGACTGGCTAGTCTGCAGGTGGCCAGAGGGCTGGCTAGCTCTTTCACCCCGTGAAAATCTTAGGTTTAGGATCTCCCTCAGGGTTTCATCACATCCGCCGACACAGCCAACAAACTCCAGAGGCATGGTTGGGGGAAGGCTACCACGCTTAAACTTGAACTTCAACCTGGTGAGGCCAGAAGGTGAGAAAAAAACATTGACCGGGTGCCAGCGCTTCCCTGCTCCAGCCCCAGGCCTCTCCACATCCCTCACACTTCAGGAAGCCCATGTGACGCCCTCAACCAGCCACCCAGGAGCCCCTGCAACTGTCACAGGAGCACAGTGGAGAGGACACCTAAGACCCTGACTAATCAACCCAATACAGACACCTCCGAAAAGTTCCAATCCTCTATACCAGTTCTTTTTTTTATTCTTCTTCTTTTATCCTGATCCTCATTTTATAGACGATACACCAGCAGTTCTCTAGGTGTAATTCCAGGGCCCCTGAGGGTTTCTGGGCCCTTTCAAGGGGAGGTCAAAACTATTTTATAACAAATGCTAAAAAGTTATGTCTGTTTTGCTCTTGTTCTTTCCTTTGTGTGCTCTAGAGCTTTCCAGAGGTTACAGCACACACAGTAACTCAGCAGACTGCAGGAGCAGATTTGGGGAAACAGGAATTTTCTTGCAAAACACAAGTTATTTATGTTAGTATGCAATGCATTTGCTGTAAATGAATATTTTAAAACGTGTCTCTGCTTTAATTTTGAATATGGCATATATAAACAAACCACAATAAAAGTTCTGTGGGTTCCTCAATGATTTTTTAGAGAGTAGGGGGTCCTATGAGTAACAAGTTTGAGGACCACTGTCCTGCACCAGGGCTCTCCATTTTTAGTGCACGAGTAAGTCCCTGAGCCCGATGCAGCAATGATCCATCTGAAAAGGGCAGGGAAAGCGGCCCTCCTGGCCAGGGATACACAGCCCAGAGCCTCTCCCGCACTGGGCTTCCACACACACTGAGGCAATGATGCACACAAGACACAGCAGAACTGGCCTGGGCCAGCTGACCTGGCTGCCACTAAGCACCACAGCTAAAACTTTAAAATCCTGCATGGCCTCATAGTGAGCCTCCAGGATCTGCCCCCTGGGTTCTGGTGGGAGGAAGGGCAAGATGGGCGACACGGTGCACTCACTCGGAGAGGAGGTGCCTGCCTGCGGCGCCTGGCTCACCTGTACACAGGCTGTGGCTGACAGACTGGACACACGCTGCTGTCTCTGCTGGCCTCCAGCACCGAGTCGGGAAACCACATAGCCGTTCGACACTCCGGGAAACCCGTGCAGCTGAGGTAGAACCTGAGGAGCAGGGGCCAGGTGAGACCACTTACCTGGACACACAGTCACTGGTATTCAACAGCTTAGGAAAATGAGCCTATTTACTCCAGTACTTCCCCCAAAACGATGCAGCTACTGCTGAGCCTGCTTCGTCCTCAAAGAAACACCAGCCAACAAGGCAGCCATGGAGCAGTGTTCTGGCCCTGCTGCACATTCTCAAGTTTCTGCCGCCTGCCAGTCTGGGGTGGGGCCAGCACACTCTCATTTGCAGGTGAGTAAATAGAGGCCGGAAGCTCTGGAAACATGTCCAGAGACAGGCACGGGGGGAGGGGCCAGGCCTGGAAAGCATCTGCCTGCTGAGGGGCCTCCCACCCAGCGCCCACACTGCTTGGTGTTCTCGGCCAGCACATCTCAACGCCTTCCAGTCATGGAACTTCTGGGTCTTACAGTTCTTCCGCGTGTGCCTGGGTACTACTAGACAGGAAAAACCAACCCTAAACCCCAGTTATTTAAACAGGAACTCCACAAACTCAGAAATGGAACTTATCAGATGAACCTGGCAAGCTAAAGCCCATAAGAAAATCTCCAGATCCCCGTGGGTGACTCTGAGAAGAATTCCTTTGTTATCAAGTATAGTACCTGGAGAATTCCAAACTAAAACAAAAGTAGCCTTTCTCCTTATGTCCAAATGGTTACTAACACAATAACCTACTGGTGGCAAAGGAACCATCAATAGCATTTATTATGCACTGAAATATATGCCAAGGTAGTGGGCTGAGCCTAGAGTGGCACTAGCTTCTGTCTGTGGGTGGCATGAGCCCTGCCACCCGCTTCTAGGTCTGGCCCACAGACCTCTTTTTTCCGAGAGCTGGGGAGGAGCCTTCTCTTCACCCAGCCAGCCAGGCCACTATGAGCTGTGGTGAGGAGGCAGGAAACCACCTTTCTCACTGGCAGCAGGGAGGCAGCATGATTCTGCGTCCAGGCAGAAGCGAAGGGCAGTGAAGTCCTGGGTTCAAACTCTGCCTTTACTGCTCACCAGGGCTGAGACTCTCAACTAGTGCCCCAGGCCCACTAAGGGTCAGTTTTCACTTTTTTTTTTTTGGAGACAGAATCTTGTTCTGTTGCCCGGGCTAAAGTGCCATGGCGTTAGCCTGGCTCACAGCAACCTCAAACTCCTGGGCTCAAGTGATCCTCCTACCTCAGCCTCCTCCGTAGCTGGTACTACAGGTATGCACCACCATGCCCAGCTAATTTTTTTCTACTTTTAGTTGCCCAGCTAATTTTTTTTTTCTATTTTAATAGAGATGGGGTTTTGTTCTCGCTTAGGCTGGTCTTGAACTCCTGATCTCAAGCAATCCTCCTGTCTCAGCCTCCCAGAGTGCCAGGATTACAGGCATGAGCCACTGCGCCAGCCTGTTTTCACTCTTTAAAAAGTGGGAAAAAGACTGGGTATGGTGGCTCATGCCTGTAATCCCAGGACTTTGGGAGGCAGAGGCCTCCTAAAGCTTGAGGCTTAAGGCCAGGAGTTCGAGACCAGCCTGAGCAAGAGCAAGACCCCATCTCTACAAAAATAGAAAAATTAGCTGGGCATGGTGGTGTACGCCTGTAGTACTAGCTACTCAGGAGGCTGAGGCGGGAGGATTGCTTGAGCCCAGGAGTGTGAGGTTGCAGTGAGCTATAATGTCACTGCACTCTACCCTGAGCAACACAGCCAGATCCTGTCACTAAAAAAAAAAAAAAAAAAAAGTGTGTGGGGGGGAATTTCTGCCTTGCAGGGTGCAGAGTGATTATGAAGATAGAACAAGACAATGTTTACAGAGCACCTTGCATCATGCCAGCGAGGGATGGCACCCGATGAATGACAGCCTCTATCCCTCTTTAGCACTTCTTTCTCCATGAACCTCCTCCAGTGGCCAGCTGCCAGCAGGGACAACTAGGCCAGACTAGGCAACCTGATCTGGGGTAAACTGCCCACTCAGATCTAGTGCATGAAAATGAAGAGGGAGTTGTGGTTTCTAGGCCCAATTCAGACTTGGTGAGCACCTACAACGTGTCAGGCAAAGTGCTGTACAGTTTTGATCCCTTTTCCTGAAAGGGGCGGCCTTGTAAAAATAACAGGGAATACCCAATCCCACAGTTTCCCCAGTAATGGTTAAAGGTCAATCTTATGAGTTCTCTCACTAACAGGCACCCTGCAGGAGTTCTGCTTTGCACAACTTTTGGAAAGATTGGAATGAACGGAAAAGAGATGTAGATTTCCCTCTTTCAAAATTATCTTTTGAGAATCTGCTTTTAGAGAGTTCCTGAGTAAACAGCAGGAGAACGAGCTACAGCCTCAACAGTATCTTGACGACAGCATCACATCTGCTGTGATATTCCCTTCTCCAAGGAAAGGCAGGGAACCAAGTCTTGGACTTCGACATCCTTGCGGTTTTTGTCATCAACTGACAGCCAGCACTGGTTTTTTCCTCTCTTCATTCCCCTTAAAATCAGCAAAATCAGCACACACTCTCACTGCTGGCCTCTTCTCTTTCTTTGGGATGTCACCCCATCTCTTTCTATCCCCCTGCCTTTCTTCTTTCTCCTCTAAGAAGGATAAAATAAACTTTTCCACTTTTATATCTTAATCTCTTCATGAGAAATCTTTCTCCATCCTTGCCATGAGCAACTACTAGCGTGTCCACCCTAACCATCCTCACCCTTAGCACAGCTTTGTGAGGGAGATACTACTGGCTTTATGAAAGATATCTTGGGCCTCAGAGTCATTAAATAAGTTCCGTCAGGCCACATAGCTCACTTCAGCGAGAAGTGGGATTTGAACCCAGACACATCCAGATCCGAAGCTCATGCTCCGCTCGCCACACATTGGATAAATGATGACCTACCCACGATGGACCAAAACACCCCACTATCACTCAGTCCCTCACCTCCTCTGAGTTCCCACAGCACCGCACACCTCAAAGGCCTCTCCCCACTGTGCTATCCTTCTAGTCCAACACCTTGCTGTGGCTGGCAACAGGCCAGCCTTTAACTAATTCCATGGAAATAAAATGGCAGGGCCTTTCAGAGAGTTGCCTGGCTGACACAGCAGGTGCTGAGGCACAGAGGCAGGGCAGAAGCCAGGGCACTGACCCGCCACTCTTCTTGGTCTTGAGGACCATGTCCTTGTTGCACTGTGGGCACTTCCTGATGGGCTCCGGCATGGTTGGGTAGATCTCTTCCTGCTGGCCCACCTCTGCCCCTTCCCCAAAGTACTGGGCCAAGGCCTCGTCCAATCTGAAGAGAGGGCAAAAATACACATCAGCTGGCAATCGCTGCAAGCCACTTACAACATTCTTATGTGTACCTGACATGTGTGACCTTGGGAAGCAGCTGGTAAGTGAGCCACAGGCCTGCTGCAGAGAACAGAGGGCAGCGAGGGGAGACTGAGATTACCAAACAGCCCTGGCTCCTGGTTCCTGGCCAGAGCCTGGTAGGACTCAGGCTACAGGCAGATAACTCTGCCTTGTCACTGGCCCCACATTAATCAAGTAAAACTGCATAGCGTCTACAAACTCCAGAAGTGTCTGCCTTAAGTTTAAACTAGTTCATGCATTTCTTTTCAAGTTAGCATGGGGTAGTGTGAAGGATAAGAAAGAACAAACTATTTCCTACTATACTTTCACAACATACTTCTGATACTGGCTGCATGGGTTTTTTCCACCACACGCCAAGCAATTCTTCAGCAGACACTAGCTGGGCATCCTCCCATTCAATTCAGTTCTGGCGCTATATATGTGGAGAGTGTTCAGCAATTAAGTGCTCAGTCCCACAAGACTGCCCCCTCTTTAGATGCCAGTCACAAATCCCAGGCTGCACTTCTGACCAACCAGTTATAAACTGGGCTTCCTAGAACCCCCTCCTTGGGTTTGGTTAACTTGCTAGAGTGCCTCACAGAACTCAGGGCAACACTTTACTTACACTTGCCTATTTATTACAAAGGATACTATGGATGAAGCCAGATGGAAGAGACACACAGGGTGAGGCGTGTGGGAGCAGGCGCCAAGCTTCCAAGGCCTTTCCGGGAACGCCACCCTTTAGGAACCTCCACGTACTGGGCTATTTGGAAGCTCACCAAACCCAGTCCATGAGTTGTTATGGAGGCATTATTACTTAGGCATTACTGATAAATCACTGGCCATAGGGGATAAACCTAACCTCCAGCCCCTCTTCCCTCCCCAGAGGTGGGGCCCAAAATCAAAACGTTCTAATCACAGGGTTGGTTCTCTGGCAACCAGCCCCAACCTGAGGCTGTCCAGGAGACCCCAGCCATCAAATCACCTCATTAGCATACAAAAGTCACTTTGGGGATTCTGAGGGTTTTAGGAGCTGTGTGCCAGGATATGAAGACTAAATATATATATATCTTATTATGAATCACAGTATCACAGGTATAAAATATGTCATTTCTAACAAAATGCACACCACTGCTTGCTAAATGGCCACCTCTAAATGCCTCAGAACAAATGAATCATACCCTAGCATGTGGGTTTACTGATTTAAAAGACTATGCTGCCTAACTCAAGACAATTAAAATCAAGAGAAGGGCATTTCTAAAGCCATTAGCCCAGAGTAACCAGAGCAGATCAGGCGTGAGGAAGAACTTAGTAGAGAAACAGCCCCCAAGAACTCTCTCTACTTGCTGGGGAACACGGCACTCACTTCTTTGCTTTAGCCACTGCTTCAATGAAAACCTGCTTGTATTTCTGCACCTGCTGCCTCAGAACCACCAATTTGTCCTTCTTGCCCTCACAGATCAGCTTCAGATCAGCTTCCAGCTCAGCCCGGAGGTCAGGCTTAGACATCTCATAGCCCATGGAATCATAACCTGCAGACAAAGAGGGTGCTCTGTGAGGGGCCCCAACACCACTGCCCATATTCACTGCCAGCTCCCTCCTCCCTTACCTTCCACAAGTCCCATGCCAAGGTGCCCAGGGAGGAACCGCTTGTCTGGGGTGAGCCCCACGTACATCCGGGCTTTGATGGTCTCGATGTGCTCGGCGTGGGTGGCATCAGTACCTAGAAGCCATTTCCCGATTATTCTGAGGTAATACAGACAGCTGCACCTAGAGGGCTGGGGTGTCTCACTCACACCACAAGCCCCTCTGCCTGGAGGGCCTATGTAGGCAAGATGTATCTGTTCCCTCTGGTTTTTAAGAGAAATCACAAAGGCAACCTCAACCTCACATCTGATTACTCATTAAAGCTGTCAATTCCAAAAAGATAAGAAAAAAAATAAAATAAAATAAAACTGTAAATTCCAGCTTAAAAATTCCTTCAAATCCTCTTTCCCCCTTCTGTGTTGCAGCCACACTGGAGTCTACCTCTTCCCATCCGCACCATTACCACGCCCTCATCCTCCCCATTTCTGCTCCTTTCCGCCCATTCTCTAAGCTGTGGCCAAAGAGACCTTTTAAAATGTAGCTCTGGCAGGGCGTGGTGGCTAATCATCCACCAGTCATCCTAATACTCTGGGAGGCAGAAGTGGACAGACTGTTTGAGTTCAGGAGTTTGAGACCAGCCTGAGCAAGAGTGAGACCTCACCTCTATTAAAAATAGGCCGGCGTGGTGGCTCACACCTATAATTCTAGCACTCTGGGAGGCCAAGGCGGGCGGACTGCTCAAGGTCAGGAGTTCGAAACCAGCCTGAGCAAGAGTGAGACTCTGTCTTTACTATAAATAGAAAGAAATTAATTGGCCAACTAATATATATAGAAAAAATTAGCCGGGCATGGTGGCGCATGCCTGTAGTCCCAGCTACTCGGGAGGCTGAGGCAGGAGGATTGCCTGAGCCCAGGAGTTTGAGGTTGCTGTGAGCTAGGCTGATGCCAACAGCCCTCTAGCCCAGGCAACAGAGTGAGACTCTGTCTCATAAATAAATAAATAAGTAAATAAAATGTAGTTCTGCCATTAGGGAAATGTAAATCAAAACCACAATAAAATACCATTTCATACCCACTAGCACGGGTTTAATTAAAAGATAATAACAACTGTTGGTGAGGATGTGGAAAAAATGTAAAATGGTGCGGCCACTGTGAAAGACACTTCGGCAGTTCCTCAACAAGTTAAAAGTACAGTTACCATGTGAAACGGGTGGCTTTGCTGAAATAACAGAAAAATATCTAATCCTACCATTTCCTAATAACCTCTAAAGATCAATCATGAGCTCTCCCTACTCTCCGTCTCTCTCCCTTTAGCTGACAGGCACAACTTGGGGCTCTGCTTTCCCCGAACATCTGAAAAGAGCCCAAAGACAGAAAGCAAATGTAAATCTTTCTCTTTACATGCACCAGAAACTGCCTTTGGAATCTGTTTCTATAGCCTAAGGTGTTCCTGAGAAGCTCCTAGCTGGACAGCAAGGAGCAAACTCCAGGCCGCAAGTTTCCTGCCCAAAACTGTATCTCAGGGGCAAAACCATATCCCCTGAGATAATAAGCCTGATGACATTTCAGAGAAAACCAAGTCTCCAGGAACAGAGAGAAAGAAAGATGAACAATGTGACTGCTCTTGAAGCTGCCTGCTAATTACTGCACAGCTGCTTTGGTTTTAACTGACAATTACTATTTTTTCCTTTCTCTTCACTATTGGCACCTCCCTTCTCCCTTCTTTGAACACCGTGTGACCCAGCAATCCCACTCCTAGACATATACCCAAGAGAAGTGAAAACACATATCCACATGAGGTCAATTACAAAAGGCCACATACTTATCGTATGATTCCCTTTATAGGAAATGTCTAAAATAGGCAAATCTCTCAATCAGAAAGATTAGTTGTTGCCTAGGGCTAGAGGATTAGAGGAGAGGGGAACGGGAATTACTGCTACAGGGTACATGGTTTCTTTCTGAGGTGATGAAATCGTTCTAAAACAGACTGTGGTGATGACTACACAACTTTGCAAATGTACTAAAAATGTGAATTATACATTTTAAACAGGTGAATTGTATCATACACGAACGATGTCTCCATAAAACTGTATCATTTTTAAAATATTACTTAAATAATATTTTAATAATTAGCTGGGCACAGTGACTCACTATAAACCCAGCACTTTGGCAGGCCAAGGCAGGAGGATGGCTTGAGGCCAGGAGTTTGAGACCAGCTTGGGCAACATAGCAAGACCTTGTCTCTTTAAAAAAAAAGAAAAAGAAAAGTTAGCCAGGTGCAGAGGTGGCATGCACTACTCAGGAGGCTGAAGCAGGAGGATCGCTTGAGCCCAGGAGTTAGAGGCTACAGTGAGCTATGATCGTGCCACTGTACTCTGGCCTGGGCAACAGGCCTAGGCAACAGAGCAGAAACTCACTATCTCTAAAAAAAAAAAACAACAAATTAAATAAATTAAAAATATTATAATCTGGCTTGGGTTTTTTGTTTTGTTTTTCTGAGACAGAATCTGGCTCTGTTGCCGAGGCTAGATTGGCATCAGCCTATCTCAGGGCAACCTCAAACTCCTGGGCTCAGGCAATGCTCCTGCCTCAGTCTCCCACGTAGCTGGGACTATAGGCACGTGCCACCATGCCCAGCTAATTTTTTAATTTTTAGTGGGGGGGTGGTGGTGTCTCACTCTTGCTCAGGCTGGTCTCAAACTCCTAAGCTCAAGTCATCCTCTGCCTTGGCCCCCCAGAGGGCTAGGATTACTGGTGTAAGCCACTGTGCCTGGCCTGGTTTGGCTTTTTATTTTATTTTTTTTTTTGAGACAGAGTCTCGCTTTGTTGCCCAGGCTAGAGTGAGTGCCATGGCGTCAGCCTAGCTCATAGCAACCTCAAACTCCTGGCTCAAGCAATCCTCCTGCCTCAGCCTCCCAAGTAGCTGGGACTACAGGCATTCGCCACCATGCCCGGCTAATTTTTTGTATATATATTAGTTGGCCCAATTAATTTCTTTCTATTTTATAGTAGAGACGGGGTCTCGCTCTTGCTCAGGCTGGTTTCGAACTCCTGACCTCGAGCAATCCGCCCGCCTCGGCCTCCCAGAGAGCTAGGATTACAGGCGTGAGCCACCGTGCCCGGCCTGGTTTGGCTTTTTAAAAGCCTACCAACTATGAGGAGGCACCCAAGTCCCACAGCCCTGCAAGCCAGGCTGCAAAGTCAGGCCCGAACCACCTTTCTTTCTCACCTCCTATGACCACCCCTCATTGTCCCCAGCTGCAGCAGGCTTTTGCATTCCTCCCTGTGCCCTTCCACAGGCCCTGCCCTTTGCTGGACTTGCCTTCATTGACCAGGAAGTCTTACTATGAGGTTTTGGTCAAGTTCAAATGCCAGCCACACCCATCCATAATGTTTTCTTCCTGCTCCCTGCAGAACCCATCACATTGTATTCAATGTGTTGGTTTGGTTTGGTTCTTCTGCTAGACTGAGTCCTTGAAGGGAAAGATAAGGTCTCATTTCTCATTGAGTCCCTGGTGCCTAGTCCAAGGTCTCACTCTAGTAGGCCTCATACATTTTAATCGAGGAAATCATGATGGGTGAACCCCCTCTATTTTACCTAAACCTGCAGGCTTTCTGGATATCTCAGTGATGGTCACAGACTCCAGGTTGGAGCAATTTCCCCAAGTCATAAGGCAATTAAACTCTCTTTGTAGGTGAGGCAGGTATAGCCTGGATAGAGAAAGCAGCTTCCATAACACATGTAGGGGACTCCTCTTCCCTTCCATCACACAGCTGGCCTTCCTGGACTAGATTTTGCTAGAGACAGCCCCTGAAAACTATGTGCTATGAATGCTATGAAAAACGGATGGAGGGGCAGCAGATCATTCACAATGACCCACCTGCAAAGCTTGAGCCACAGGACTTATTGGGAAAAACATAATTCTGGCCCAGTGTTTTTTAAAACATAATTTCTGATTCCTAAGCAATTATGGGAACAAAAAGCTAAGAATCCAGCCACTCATGGCTAGCAGTAGGGTCTTGCCAAGTACATGTAGGTGAGTGAGGCCAGTGTGAGCAGCGTGTGAGTAGTGTGGGTACACACCTATGGGGGCAGCTGACACCCACATCCACTGTTCCACAAGGGAAGGAGGCCCAAGCTGCCAAATCTGACACTTCAGAAGATTACGATATAGTTTTTGTTTTTGTTTTTTTTTTTAAGACAGAGTCTCACTTTGTTGCCCAGGCTAGAGTGAGTGCCTTGGCATCAGCCTAGCTCATAGCCACTTCAGTCTCCTGGGCTCAAGCGATCCTACTGCCTCAGCCTCCCAAGTAGCTGGGACTATAGGCACGCGCCACCATGCCTGGCTAAATTTTTTTTTTTTTGTATATGTATCTTTTTAGTTGGTCAATTAATTTCTATTTTTAGTAGAGACAGGGTCTCACTCATTGGTTTCGAACTCCTGACCTCGAGCAATCGGCCCACCTCAGCCTCCCAGAGTGCTAGGATTACAGGCGTGAGCCACTACACCTGGCCTACGATATAGTTTTAATTGTTACTACCTTATTTGTTGTTCTATCCCCATGTGCCCAAAAGGTGCTCCTAGCTGAGCACCCTGAGTCACGGGAAATATGTCACTCTATGTACGGTATGGTATGGGATTTCAGAGCACTGACTGGAGATTCAAACCAGGTTTAAATAACACACACTTTGTGACCTTAGGTAAGTTCTTAACCTCTCTGAGACTCACTTCAACTATAAAAATAGGGATAAGAATATAGCACCTGCATCAGATTGTGCCTGGCGCATAGGGAGATGAGAGCCATGCACAGAAGCTACTGACCAATGCCGTGCTTCTCCATGAGGGCAATGAGGTCGGCCTCGGTGAGCAACTGGGGCGGGCTGGTCTCCCCATCCACCATCTCCACGGTGCTGGGCTGAAAGCGGGAGCCTCGCTCATAGACAGGGAGGATCTGCAGGGAGCAGCATGCATGCAGTCAGATCACTGTCACCACACTCAGGCAAAAGACAACCTCCATTTCAAGGAATGCAGTTGCACGTCACTAGACAGCTCAGGGCTAGGACATGACGGACCTCCCTTCTCCCTGGGGTCCACCTCTTTATCACCTTGTCACTCCAGCGATCATATGGATACACGTCCAGATAATTTCGGGCCAGAATCATGAGGCCGTTGGCCACAAAGCGTTCCTGAGCAATGTCAATCTCTACAGTAGTCTCCTGCCCCTGAGCATCCTGGGAGCAGCAAGCCAGGAAATGGCGAACGATAAACTCATACAGTCGCTGTTCATCTCCCTAGGAAGAGAGGGAGAATCTGAAACTTCCTTGAAAATACCATCTCTTGTTTAAGGCCGGTTTACATCACCTTTCAGTTCTGCCTGGAACAGGTGACACTGCTCCCTAGGCCCTGCGCTACCTTGGAGTGCCAGGCAAGTCCTAGGGAGCAGATGGGTTTAGGCTGACACACCTCACAACTCCAATGGGGCAGAGGCAAGCAAGTGAACCATCTTCCCTTCCAGACTGGGAAGTGGTTCTTTGATGTAAACCCAATCTAAGCAGAAAACAAGATGAAAGCATAAATAGTCAGCAAGACACTACCCACTACAAGAGACACATGGTAACACTGCACTTGAGAGCCTGAGCCCAACTTCATGTTATGTTCAGATAGTAATTTGTCAGGGTGATTTTTGATCAACTGGGTAAATCCAGGATTTACTGAGTCTCATTCCATCAAAAGCCCACGAGATGTTTACATACACATCTAATAATTCCCCATCTAGGAAGTTATTCAAAGGAGTAACTGAGGATCCACACAAATGTTTATGTATACAAATGTTAACTATAGGCGCAGTGGCTCATGCTTGTAATCCTAGCACTCTGGGAGGCCGAGGTGGGCAGATCGTTTGAGCTCAGGAGTTCGACACCAGCCTGAGCAAGTGCAAGACCCTGTCTCCACTAAAAAATAGAAAACATTAGCCGGGTATAGTGGTGCATGCCTGTAGTCCCAGCTACCTGGGAGGCTGAGGCAGGAGGATCACTTGAGCCCAGGAGTCTGAGGCTGCTTTGAGCTAGGCTGACGCCACAGCACTCTAACCCGGGCAACGGAGCGAGATTCTGTCTCAAAAAACAAAAACAAATGTTAAATATAGGACATTTTGTATCAAAATCTTGTAAACAACTTACTGTTCCAAAAATCAATTTGACAAAATAAATTATAGTACATCTATGCAATCATTTAAATATCATACTTTTAAATACTGCAGAAAATGGGGAAATACTCATGATATAATATGTTAAAGTAGTTTTTTTCCTATCACCTAGGCTAGAGTGCAATGGCACAATCATAGCTCACAGTAGCCTTGAACTCCTGGGTTTAAGTGATCCTCCTACCCTGGCCTCCCAAAATACTGGGATTATAGGCATGAACCACTATGCCTGACCTTAAAAAGTAGTTTTTACAAAGCTATCTAAGGTCCTAATTTTATTAAAAGACTATCTACATGCATAGAAAAAATGTGGTTATAAGAAGGGGCAATTATAGGCAATTTTTTCCTTCTTTATATCTTTTATATTTTCTAAATTGTGTAAAATGAACATGTATTAATTTTATTTATTTTTGAGACAGAGTCTCACTCTGTTGTCCCGCCTAGAGTGTAGCAGTGTCATATCATAGTTTACTGCAACCTCAAACTCCTGGGCTCAAGTGATCCTCTTGCCTCAGCCTCCTGAGTAGCTGGGATTAGAGGCGCTTACCACAACACCTGGCTAATTTTTTTCTGTTTTTAATAGAGACAGGGTCTTGCTCTTGCTCAGGCTGGTCTTGAAATCCTGATCTCAAGCAATCCTCCTGCCTTGGCCTCCTAGAGTGCTAGGATTATAGGTGTGAGGGACTGTTTGAAAATGTATTAATTTTAAGATCAGAAGGAACATGTTATTAAAGAAAGAAAAAAAAAAGATCAAAATTTGCTCAGCTCTGTGATAGCCTGGGGAAGTCAGCAAGCTTCAAAGGCTTCTGCCCTAGGAGAGCCTGTCCCCACTGAGCCAAGCGGGCAGAGCCCAGTGGGAAACTCTACAGTGGCTACAGCAGGACAGGAGGGAGGTGGCAAAGTCCTAGGAAGGCAATAGAACCTCTCGGGAGGACAGACAGGATTCTCTAGTTACAAGGGACTGTAAATGGCTGTGATGGCTGTGGGGTGGGGGCCGAGCAGGGTGTGGGGGCAACCTGGGCTATGTGTGACAAGGGGAGAAGCAGCAGGAGCCCTGTGCTGACGGGGCTACAGCAAGGGTGGGGCCCACCACACGAGGGTCTTTCATGAAAGCAGGCAGAAGATTATAAAATAGGAGAATTCTGACACTGACTTCTCTTTTCTGAAAGAGATTATTTCAAGACCACTTATTTCCTACCATCAGAGCTGCAGGGTAAACTCGAATCCTACCACTGGCCCTCAGCAGCTCGCTCTGGGTCCTAGTGGGCAGCACATTCAAAGAAACCAACCTGCAGGCTGCTGGTATATTTAGTGGGGTGGATGGGAGGGTGAGCTTGGTCAGACTTGTTCCCATTGCGTGGGGTGGGGCCGCCCCGCTCCAGAATGCTCTGGGCAAAGGCTCCCCAGTGTGGATCTGGAGTCTGTTGTTCCACCAATGCTGTCAGATTTAAGTCTCTGGGAAAGATGTTTGTTTCCGTCCGGGGATAGCTGATGTACCTAAAACAAAGGCCAACACACAGAATAAGAATTCTTTTTAGGCTTAGTTCGTTTATAAGCAACTGACAGCACCGGGTAACACCTGCAATTACCTATCTCATATAGCCAACTCACCTGAAAGCACCCTAGGTAATCTGCACCAAGAAAAGTTCTGAGATGCCCCTCACAGGGTGAAAAGCAGCCACAGAGGAAGGGAACAGGCCAGCCCAGCACAGGATCGAGACCCAGGACTCTGCCAGCGCCTCATGCCCTGGGGTACATGACTGGCCTCTCTTGGGGTCAGTCTGACCCTTGAGCCTAGTCAGCCCCAACAGCTCCACCAGTGTGTGTTTCTCTAACTGTTCCTAGAGTACATAAAGAACAATGCTGTCCCTAAAACTATAATGTAGATTCTATATGTAATTTTCAATCTTCAATTAGCCACTTAAAATTTGAGATAATTTACATTTTATTTTCATAAAAATCTTCAAAACTCCAGTATGTATTTTACATTTATAGCACATCCCAAGTTGGACAACCCAAATTTCAAGTGCTCAACAGTCGAATATTGGACAGCACAGCCAGAAGACCACCTTGCTGGGTGCCCGTGACCCCTGGGTTTGGATGATTTTCACAGGCAAATGACTCCCAGAGGAGCTGCCTGCTCTCTGCCACTTGCCAGGGCACCAGGGAGATTACTGAGGAGTCAAAAGTAGGATCTGGATTTACTCTATGGGTTCTCGTACTAAAATGCTTTATTCATATCAGAAAAGAGAACTCAATGTCAAAATCCTCTGTCAGAGCTTGGGTGTTATTTAGACAATGTGTGTTTACTCTACTTCTAAAATCTTTCACCGTGATAAAGAGGCTTCAAATTCTCCCAAAGCTATTCTCAAGGATACTCACCCTTGAGTGTAGAGCTTTTCAGCAATCCTCATGGTTTCTTTAGCATTTATTCTCAACTTGCGAGAAGCCAGCTTCTCAAGCTCCTGTGAAATAGGTTGACATGCACATTAGATGTGAGTCAGAGGGCATGAGCCAACTACACAACTCATCTTCAGACAAGTCTGCCTCTGTTGCTCCAGGTTCTTCTGTCACACAGAAGGGGAAAGGCTGTCTGAGAATGATTTCTGGGCCTGCCAGCAGAGCCAGACTCCCTGCCCAGTGGTTCTGACTGATGTGTAAGGCTAACCGGAGAAGCCAGCAGATTCATGGCCCTGCCCACTGGGGACTGGACAGAGCAGGGCAAGGCCGGGACAGAGGCTGAAATCTGCACCTTTTAACAAGCAGCCTACAATACAATTCAAACACAGGGAGTCTGAGAATCAAATTTTGTGAATCCCATCCAATCCCCAGTAAACTCCCCTGGATGGTGAAAACCATTCTTTGAGGCCTCCTGGGGGATAACCAGGAGTGTTCTTTTCCCTAGGCACCACTCCAACAATGCTGCCACTATATGCCAAAGCACACTGAACCAGAAAGGAATAAAACACATACGTCTACTACATAAAATCAATCCATGACTTTCCCCCAGGAATCTCTCAACACACATATTTATCGTGGCCTAAGACAAGGAACGCACTGCCTAGCAGTCCATGCACATTTTTTAGCCTGCACATTCTGTATGTGCAATTTCAAAGTGGACTCTTCCAGATGAAGGAGCAGTGGGGGAAAGCTTTGCTTCCTGTAGAACCCACTTGCGGCCAGTAGCTCTGGCTCACACCAGTAATCCTAGCACTCTGGGAGGCTGACGCAGGAGGATCACTTGTGGTCAGGAGATCAAGACCAGTCTGAGCAAAAGTGATACCCGGTCTCTACTAAACATGGAAACAATTAGTTGGGCGTGGTGGTGCGTGCCTGTATTCCCAGCTACTCGGGAGGCTGAGGCAGGAGGATCACTTGAGCCTAGGAGTTTGATGTTGTGGTGAGCTATGATGATACCACTGAACTCCAACCTGGGGAACAGAGCGAGACTCGGTCTCAAAAACAAAAACAAAAGAACCTGCTTGCTTTATGACAGACCCTGCATTTAGTCCAGGTTACTGGTGGCAAAGAAGTAGAGGAGAGATCTGGAGATGTCAAGGGGGTTGGCCCAGGTCACACAGATAAGCCTGACAGTAATTCTAAGCCTGCATGTCCTGCTAAGTGGTGACTGGGAAGGCACGCTTCCAATGTGATTTACTCAGACTTGTGTCCCATGGGGGTAGCTCTTCCTGGGTTCAAAAATTTGAGAAGCCCTGTTCTAAGATAGGTTCATATAGCATATTATTTAAAATAACACTTACGCAGAAATTACACAGATTATGCAGCAACATGAAAAAAAAATGCTTGGGTGCAAAAAATAATTATAAATTATAATGCTGTAAAAAATATGAATGTGAAAAAAAACCCCAGGAAGACAACAAAATTATACCAACAATTATGTAAGGATGGTCATTTGTCTTCCTCTTTTTGTTTCCCAAACCTCACACAATGCAGTTATATTGCACTTGATAAATTAAAAAAAAAAGCATTAAGAGGCCAAGCAGGCTTCTATCTTTCCCTAGTGCTCTGCTCTGTGGCATGGTGATGGCTGATGTTTCCTTCCACTGTACCATAGTCCATGCAGAACTACAGCCCCAACAACGGGACTTAATTGTTCCTAAGTGCCTGAATCAGTCTGAAACATACCACAGTGTCCAAAGCTTGAGGCCGCCACTTGCTCTTGGGCTTAGATCTGACCTCCACCACGGTTGCCATGGGATCCTAGAAAGTAAAGACAGCATGAACTTTCAGCCTTCCCCTGAGCTGCACCTGCTGACCACTGTGTGTGGGCCCTGGGAAAAACAAGGCTATGTGTTAACTGATAGGAAGTGGCATCATAAAATGGACAACCAGTCCAAGGGTCAGGAAATGTGAAGTCAGGGTCCCCACTGCCAATGACTGGCCTGTGGCATGCCTTTGCACGTGTTGTTCTGAGACACAGCTTCCCCCCATTCCTCCCCTGGCTACCTCACTCCAATGCCTGCTCAAATGTCACCCCTCTGCAAGGTCTTTCCTGACCACCACATCCAGAACAGCCCCCTCCCTGCCCCCCAGGCCTCTCTCCCTTTTCTCTGCTTAATTTTCTTCCTGGCCTTAATCAATATATGAAATTAACTCATTCATTTGTGACTTTCATTTCTCTAGACTTCCTTATGTAATCAAGAGGGGACAGATGCTGTCCAAATTGCTTCACGGACATTTCCTAGGAATCTATGATCTGGACTGACTAGCTGATCCTTGTTAATCTCCAGTGATAGTATATGCCCAGAGAGGGATTTCAGCTATAAGTTCTCAAAATTTCTGATTTTATCTAAAAATTCTGCAGATTCCTTCCCTTTCATATTTTTAGTGCTGGTTTCTGCAAACTTAAAGCTCAAGTTCAGAGGAAGACTAGGACAGAAAGGGAGTGGCCCGGGAGGTGTGCAGAATGCTTCCTAGATCATTAGGATTTCAGAGCACTTCTTACCTCCATACACAACTGATAGAGGACAAGACAAGCTGTGTGGTTAAAGAGTCGATGCCTTTTCCAGTTGAATTCTACGATGCCATCTTTGTGGTCATGAGTTACTGTATCAGGGAGAGACAAACAGAAAGGCTATTGTCCAGAGGAGCCACGTGATATGACAGATAAAAGAAGGTATTTTACAGTGAAAGCCAAAGGAATATGAAACAGGGAAGTTTCTAGATGACAAAAGAAACATTAAGTAGATTCTGAATATTGTAATGGGGCAGAGAGAAGGGCAGCAAGATTTTTTTTTAAAAATCACATCTTTATTTATTTATTTTTTTTGAGACAGAGTCTCACTTTGTTGCCCAGGCTAGATAGACTGAGTGCCGTGGCGTCAGCCTAGCTCACAGCAACCTCAAACTCCTGGGCTCAAGCAATCTTGCTGCCTTAGCCTCCAGAGTAGCTGGGACTACAGGCATGTGCCACCATGCCTGGCTAATTTTTTCTATATATATTAGTTGGCCAATTAATTTCTTTCTATTTATAGTAGAGATGGGGGTCTCCCTCTTCCTCAGGCTGGTTTCGAACTCCTGACCTCGAGCAATCTGCCCGCCTCAGTCTCCCAGAGTACTAGGATTACAGGTGTGAGCCACCCCACCTGGCCTAAATCACACCTTTAATTAGCACTATTAATGCTCCCCAATCCCTTATTATTCCTGGGCCTGTACGAACACGAACACAACCCTCAGCCTTACCTTTAATCCTGTGAAAGATCTCTGGCACGAAAGCCTGGATGGCTTTGAACCTCTCCACCACGAAGCCCAGTGTGGGGAATTGGCAGCTGCCGTAACTGATGAGCTGCTCTGCCAGCACCTCAGGGAAAATCCTCTGAAGCCGCAGCGTCTGGAACCTGGTGAAGGCAGCTCCTGGAGTGAGAGGACGGAGGGAGGGAAAAACAAGAGAACAATGGATGCCGAGGTCAGAGCTGGCTGTGTACATTCACACAGAACCTCATTTTTGGTTCCACAAACCTCAATACGCCCCGTGGCAGTGGGAGGGTCCGTCCACTCCTCACCTATTCTCAGATCCAGCTCCTGCCTCACATCCACAGCATCACTCACTCTCCGATCAGGCTCGGCCAGGTTTTCACAGGCCATCCTGATGGCACGGGGCGTAATCTCAGAAAAACGGGCTCGTAACACCTGCAGATTGGGCTTCACTATGGAACACAAGATGGCACCAAGGTCAAAGTCAGATCACACTGCCCTGCATCATAAGAGGTTCACTCTTCTCAAACTATGTTGAAATAAAGGCAAACCAGTTCAAGAAGCTGTGATGTGCCCGATTTACCTGTATATTAAATCAATGGTATACAACGTCTAAGAGGGAAACATCACATAACCTTCAAACTGATGTCAGAAATAACTTCAAAGTGAATTTTAGTGATTAACTACAATTCACTTGGTGAGCCTTTTGGGACTGCAACCTTACTGCTCTCTCAGGCCTTTAGGGAAAACAAAAACTCTTGTCTATTAAAAAGTCTTATGGGGAAATTTCATGTCCCTTCAGGAAAAAATACAGACATACACACATCTTTGAAAGTTAATGCATTTAAATTTCTAGGAGTCAGCCGGGCACGGTGGCTCAAGCCTGTAATCCTAGCATTCTGGGAGGCCGAGGCGGGTGGATCCCTCAAGGTCAGGAGTTTGAGAACAGCCTCGCAAGATCGAGATCTGTCTCTACTAAAAATAGAAATAAATTAATTTGCTAACTAAAAATACATAGAAAAAATTAGCCAGGCATGGTGGCACATGCCTGTAGTCCCAGCTACTTCGAAGACTGAGGCAGGAGGATCGCCTGCGCCCAGGAGTTTGAGGTTGCTGTGAGCTAGGCTGACACCTTGGCACTCTAGCCCGGGCAACACAGTGAAACTCTGTCTCAAAATATAAATTTCTAGGAGTCATCAAAGCATTCAACACAAAACCTCTTAGGGAAAATAGGAATCCCACCCTCTGAGCCAGAAAACGGCCTGCTCATCACTTTCTCTAAGTTACATGAAATCATTAACCCTGTTCAAGCCATTCAAAATCCACTTTAACAGGCCAGGCGCGGTGGCACATGCCTGGAGTCCCAGCTACTCGGGAGGCTAAGGCAGGAAGATCACTTGAACCCAGGAGTTTGAGGTTGCTGTGAGCCAGGCTAACACCATGGCACTCTAGCCCAGGCAACAGAGTAAGACTCTGTCTCAAAAAAAAAAAAAAATCCACTTCAACAATTATGTATTAGTATTAATAGTTAGACACTGTACAATGAATACGGAAAATTAAGAAAATAAATAGAACATTTTATAATTATTCTTTGTACTTTACTTATGATATATACATTCTTCTGCATATATTCAATATGTAATTTTTAAAAACTGACTATAAAAATGCCTGTTCTTAAGAAGCTGGGGATCTTCTTGTACCTAACAAGGAATAAGCCCTAGGCTAAATGGTTCACACTATCAGTAACTCATTTAATTCCCATAGCAGCCCCAGAAAACAGTCAGATTGCCGCACAGGGGGAAGTCAAGGCTCCCAAGGGTTCAGTGACTTGCTCCAGGATGAAGCGGATCTGCAGAGGATCTCAGCCACGGCAACCAGAGAATGTTATTTATTTATGGGGCTCCAAGGTGGAGAGACATGGCAGCAGCACGTACCAGCCTTGCACACGTGGATGATCTCAAATCCAATATTTTCACCTTCTCTATCACAGTCAGTCCAGATCACCAGCGCCTGGCACTGCCGTGTCTCTCGTTCCAGAGTTCTCTGAAGTTCACAGTGGGGAAAGAGCAGTGAGAACAGAATCGCAGAGCAATGACTTTACATCTCAATGCCTAAGGGACATGAATGAAGAGTAATGCTGTTCTTGGAGTACACCATCTTGGTAAGGGAAAGAGGTCACAGAAGCCTGCTCATACTAGCGCTAATGACGGTGAGGTCACTAGTACAACCCCCCAGACCCAGAAATGAGCTTCTTGAAGATGTAGAGAAGATAGAGGGTTTAATACAACTTCATCTATATGACAAAACCTAAAACTCAGCTTTCACACTTATGACTTAGGTAATTCTGATTATGCCCCGGTAAAAAAAAATAAACACCGAGTTTCATCCAAAGAAGGTTTCCCAGTTAGCAGTGAATTATCGTAACTGTAGGTGCCCTGACTGCTTGAGAACTGGCAATTTACTGTCAAACAACCATTTACATTTTGCAGCCTCTTCTGTTTTAACTAGGGGTGGGATGATGGAACTAATAATTTAACCATACTTATTCCTAGGATGTAAACTACTACTGTTCATAAAAAGGGCTTACTTCAGTCCCTTGGCAACTACGTTTAAACAGCCTTATTTACACAATGAGTAAGAGTTAACTTTTTAAATCATGGTACTAAGTTTGCTGGAAAACGTTATCTCCAAATTCCGATGCATTAAAAATACAGAAATCAGTCAGTTTGATTCTCTATGGCTGCTCCAATTTCAGTGCCAAATGTCTTCAAAAGACCCTACCTTAATGTCTACAAAATTCTCTGGGCAGTACTTTTCAATTTCTGCTTCAAAGAGGACAAGGGGGTTGCAGCTCTGCCTAGAAAAGAAAAAAACACAGAGTCCAGTATGTGATGGAGAACTCTTCACTCTAATGAAAATGAACTGCTACAGGGAACTTATGGGTTGATCCCCAATAGGAGCAGACCCAGCAGACTGAAAGCAAGGCTACGGCCCTCTGCAAAACACACTATCTGCTTCACCAGGAGGATCAACAGGAGCTGCTAAGACATTCTGGAACCTTTCATGGGCATCTCCACTTGCATAAATGCAATCTGATGACTCCATGAAAAAGGTCTGGCTATTATGGGAGAACACTTAAAAGTGGCTGTTTATTCTAAAGGTCTGATAAAAATTCACAAAGAATCAGATGATTCTAGGTCATCTTAGTATTATAAATTACACAGTAAGATCAACATGCCTCAAAATTCCTGTAATATTTCAAAACTTACTGTAATAATTTGAAAGTCCTTCCCCCAGGAATTGTACTGACCATTTTCGAAATTGCATCTGGAAATCATGAGCCAGCAAATGTCCAGAAACTGAAGTCATTATCATGGTAACATTCTGAATGACGACAAAACTCAAGTTAGTCTTTCTGCAGTTGTATTTTGCCAAATCATTCAAACAAAAGGGAGAAATTTCTATTAAAGGGGGAAAAAAACCTCAGCTGATTGGGAAGAAACAAACGTAAAATAGCTCTTTAGGCCGGGTACGGCAGCTCATGCCCGTAATCCTAGCATTGGGAGGCAGGAGGATCGCTTGAGACCAGGAGTTCAAGACTGGCCTCAGCAAGAGTGAGACCCTGTCTCTACCAAAAAATAGAAAAAAGTCAGCCAGGTGTAGTGGCATGTGCCTATAGTCCCAGCTATTCTGGAGGCTAAAGCAGGAGAACTGCTTTAGCCCAGTAGTTTAAGGTTGCAGTAAGCTGTGATGACGCCACTGCACTCTAGTTGGGGCAACAGAGTGAAGCTCTGTCTCAAAAACAAAAAACAAAAACCAAAAAAAAAACCCACCAAACCAAACAAAAAAACCCCAAAAACCCAAAAATATCCCAAAAAACTCTTCCAAGCCAAAAGCCATAGAATATAATCAACATTCTTTTTTTTTAACATCTATGATGTAAGATAATCACCATTTTAATTCTAGTACCATGATGTCTTCTGTATCATTTAAAATTTCCTCAAACTATTATATATTAGATTGTTTATTATAAAGAGCTCACATGAGACTGTATTTTATTAAAAAGGGGAAATCTGATTACATTTTATTAAATTTCCTTATAAATTATACAATGATCACCTGTAACAAAAGACCTTTAGATCACAGCAATAGTTATTCTTAAGACAGTGACATATTCTACATACAGCCAGGCTATTTCTTGATTAAAGAACTCTAAAATACAAGCAATTTAAGGAGGATGTATAGCAAACAGCTGCTCTTTTTAGCTACAGCTGAAACCCCAAGGGATGTGCACTAAAATGGTACATAGATCTAAAAGCACACTTCAGCTTTATGATGGAAATATTTCAATACCTACTTGGCCATATAGGTGATAATCAAATTCATAGATCTTGTTGAACTTAGAAAGTCCTTCTCTCTGTAAAACAAAACAAAAATAAGTAAAAAATATAAATTATGTTAATAAAACAAATAACTCCTCAGCATAAAGATCAAGCAAAACCCTGGAAAGTGAGAATATTAAAAATGCAAAATAATATTTCCTGTAGATTAAAAACTAGGCTAAATTATTAAGACCACTTAAGTGGCCCCTCAGAAATAGTTACCAAGCATATACTTGATAGTATCTATAGAGTTTTTATACTGAAAGGTAACCCTGAGATCAGCTAATATAACATTTTTATATAGATGAGTATGGACCTTTTCCAAGGTCATGTGACAACTTAATGGCAGAGAAGGAATTAAGACAGGTCCCTTGATGATTTTCTCCTTCTTTCACATACATCTCTGCTGTTTCCTGGTCACACAATTACACCAATAAACTGGTGATCACAGGCCAGCTTTCTAAGCCTCAATTCAGTCATTCAGCTTTCTAAGCCTCAATTTATTCTGGAATGAAGTTATCTCTGAGGTCCCTTCTGGCTCCAAAATCTGATGACACTATAAAGCCCCAGTCAGAACTGGAATCCAATCTCTAAAGCACTTCTTCAGCTGCAATTATGGACCACCAAGACCTTCTCTGAGTAGATCCCACCTTCTCCCACAAACGCATTAAAAGCAGTTAGGCCAGGCCGGGCGCGGTGGCTCACGCCTGTAATCCTAGCACTCTGGGAGGCCAAGGCAGGCGGATCGCTCGAGGTCGGGAGTTCGAAACCAGCCTGAGCAAGAGTGAGACCCCGTCTCTACTATAAATAGAAAGAAACTAATTGGCCAACTAATATATATACAAAAAATTAGCCGGGCATGGTGGTGCATGCCTGTAGTCCCAGCTACTTGGGAGGCTGAGGCAAGAGGATTGCTTGAGCCCAGGAGTTGGAGGTTGCTGTGAGCTAGGCTGATGCCATGGCACTCACTCTAGCCTGGGCAACAAAGTGAGACTCTGTCTCAAAAAATAAATAAATAAAATAAAAAAAGCAGTTAGGCCTATGAAGGGCCAAACACTGAACGGAAAACAAGAGAAAGGCCAAGTGGTAACTGGGGAATTGTTCAAAGGCCAAGAAAAGATCAGTATTAGAAGATTCTCAGTCTCAAAAATACAATTTTTCTGTGTGTAGCCAGGCATGATGGCCCATGCCTGTCATTCCAGCTACTCAGGAGGCTCAGGTGGGAGGCTGAAAACTTACTACAAATCTACAGCAATCAAAACAGTGTGGTACTGGTATAAGGATAGACATATATAATGATGGAATTAAACTGAGAGTCCATAAATGAATCTAAACATCAATGATCAATAGATTTTTTTTTTTTTGAGAGAAAGATGAGGTCTCACAATGCTGCCCAGGCTTGAGTATTGTGGCTATTCACAGATGCTATCACAGCACAATACAGCCTGAAACTCCTAGGCTCAAATGATCTTCCTGCCTCACCCTTCTGAGTAGCTGGGACTACAGGTGCCAAGTACATTCAATGGGCATCCAAAGCATAGTCTTTGCAACAAATGGTGCTGGGACAACTGGATATGCACACGCAAAAGAATGAATTTGGACCCTTACCTCACACTATGTACACAAATTAACTCAAAATGGATCAAAGACCTAAATATAAGAGCTAAAACTATACAACTCTTAGAAGAAAGTATAGGAAGAAATCTTTCTGATCTTGGATTTGACAATGATTTCTTAGATATGACATCGAAAGTATAACCAACATTTCTTCAAAGAAGATAAACAAATGGCCAACAAGCACATGAAAAGATGCTCAATGTTTTCAGTCACTAGTTAAATGTAAACCAAAACCACAATGAAATACCACTGCACACCTACTAAGATGTAATTAAAACAAAAAAGGGAAGTGTTGAGGATGTGGAAAAATTATAACATTGCGGAAATATAAAATGCCACTGTGGAAAACAGTTTGGTGATTCCCCAAAAAGTTAAACAAAGTTACATGTCCCATCAATCCACTCCTAAGAATTTACCCAAAAGAATTGAAAACAGTTATTGAAACAAAAACTTAATACATGGGTTGTCTACAGCAGCTCTATTCATAATAGCCAAAAGGTGGAAACATAAATGTTGACCAACTGATGAATGGTAAAATGAAATCTGATCTACCCATACAACGAATACTATTCAGCCATAAAAAAGAATGAAGAATCAATACATGCTACAACATCGATAGACTTCAAGAACATTATGCTAAGTGAAAGAAGCCTGGCACAAAAGACCATGTATTGTGTGGTTCCATTTATAGGAAATATCCAGAATAGGCAAATCCATGGGGACAGAAAGATTACCTGGTTGCCAGGGGCTGGGAGGAGTATGCAAGGGGGAGTGACTGCTTCATGGACATGAGGTTTCCTTTTGGACTCACAAAAATCTTCTGGAACTAGGTAGTGGTGATGGTTGCACAATACTGTGAATGTACTAAATGCCACTGAATTATATACTTCAAAATTATTTAAATGGTAAATTTTATGTGCATTTTACTGCACTCAACCACCTACACACAATCTACATGGCTCTTTAATACCCTCATGGTCTGCATTCAACTGCTTCTCTTGCTTAACTCACTGGCTCTTCCTCCAACCACATGCCACCCCTAACTTCTAATTATTTCTGAACCTGCCAAGCTGTTTCAAGCCCCTGGGCTGTTCTTTATACACTGTATCCACTGCCTAGCAATATTTTAAAGCTCAGCTCAAACATTCATACAAAAAATATTTATTGAAAATCTCCTGTATTTCAGACACTATATTAGTCCCTGTCCTTTGGAGCTTCAAAGTCCACAGAGAGGCGGTGATAAATCAAATAAATAATTGCACATTACACAATTTAACTGTAACAGGTAGATGCATTTCAAGTAGGAGAATGGAGGGCATTGACAGCACGTCATTAATGGTCCCACAGTGGGGGATGGTGGTGAGGGAAAAGGTTCCTTGGAGAGACATTTAAGCAACGACTCTCCTCCAGCTGCCCAAGATGCCAAAAGGAAAGAAGCCCAAGAGGAAGAAGGGGGCCTAGCCCATGCTGTCATGAAGAAGTAGAAGGCTAAGAAAGTGGTAAATCCCATTTGAGAAAAGGCCTAAGAATTCTGGCACTGGACAGGACATCCAGCACAAAAGGGACCTCATCCACATTGTCAAATGGCCCCACTACATACAACCAGTTGCAGTGGCAAAAAGCTATTGCCTATAAGTGGCTCAAAGTGCCTCCTGTGATTAACCAGTTCACATAGGACTGCCAAACAGCTACTCAAGTGCTCAAGCTGGACCATAAGTGCACCCAAGAGACAATGCAAGAGGCACAGACTATTGGCCTGGGCTGAGAAGCTGCTGGCAAAGAGGATGTCTCCATTAAGAGACCATCTGTCCTTCAAGTGGGGGTTAATACTATTACCACATTGGCAGAGAACAACAAGGCTCAGTTGGTAGTGATCGAACATGACATGGATCCCACCGAGTTGGCTGACTTCCTGCAAGCTCAGTGTTGAAGGATAGAGGTTCCCTACTGCATCGTAAATGGGAAGGCAAGACTGGGACATCTAGTCCTCAGGAAGACCTGTACTGCTGTAGCCCTCATATAGGTTAACTTGGAAGACAATGGAGCTCTGAGTAAGCCAGTGGAAGCTATCAGGACCAATTACAATGACAGATATGATAAGATCTGCCATCATTCGGGAGGCAATGCCTTGGGTCCAAAATCTGTAGCTCATATTACCAAACTGGAAAAGGGAAGGCTAAAGAACTTGCCACTAAATGGGTTGAATGTACACTGTTGAGTTTTCTATATGTAAAAATAATAAAACTTCTTGTTAAAAAAAAAAGTCTTCCCTTTTGGCCAGAATCTTCTAGTAATTGGCCAAATGACAAAAACAAAGAGAAAGAGGAGAGGCACCTCTAGGCCTTTTAGAAAACATGGAGTCTACAAGACAGGTGATATTGCAGACATCAATGGGTACTGTTCAAAAAGGAATGTCCCCTGGTGGTGTGTACCTACAGTCCCAGCCTTGAAGCAAGGAGTTTAATTTGAGGTTGTAGTGAGCTATGATCATGCCAGGGCACTCCAGCTTGGGCTGCAGAGTGAGACCCAGTTAAGAAGAGGAAGGAAGGGGAGGGGAGGGAGGGGAGGCAGGGGAGGGAGGGAAAGGAGGGGAAAGGGAAAGGAAGTGAAGGAAAAGAATGCCCTACAAATCTTACCATGGCAAAACTGGAAAAGTCTACAATGTTACACAGCATGCCCTTAGCATTGTTGTAAACAAACAAGTTAAAGGCAAGATTCTTGCCAAGAAAATTAATATGCACACTAAGCACTCTAAGAAAGACCACTGGACTGGAGAGAGGGAGGGAGGGAGGGGGAGAGAGATAGAAAGAGAAATGTTAAGATTTCAGCAGAACCTTGAAGTATAAAGAAATTAGCTGTAGGTCTCAAGAGGCCCAGGACCCAGGTAGGGCAAACCTTGGGGCTGGTCACTAGGACTTTTCATACTGGAAAGAGGTGAAGCTTCTTTCACACAACCCTGGCTCTGGCTCCCACTGTCTCTAAACTGGAAAAAAGTCTAAGGACCCTGGGATCTGTAAAGAAAAGGGAGCAGAGATCTTCCATCCATGCTCTTAGAAATGTTCTCCTGAAAACCATTTCAGGATCCATTTTGGTTATTTGATTTTCCTGAATAGTTTTTAATGTCCCCTGTGTCACCTCCGGTTATGAAACTTTTTAATCTTCCTTTTCACTTGTGCCTTCAGTGTGGGTAGAACACATTCTTATCCCTTACTTGCGCCTCTCAGAATCAGCTCAAGGGCGTGTGAACAGGGCTGACTTCACCTGTAATCCCCAAACCTTGCTGTGTTGCCCTGGCAGTGTTCACTTTGAGACTGTAAAGTCACGCGAGTGCAGAATGCAGGGGCTGCGACCCAGGATGTGGAGAGCTAGGTTAGCTAGGGAACAATTGGTCAGAGCTTGAACGCCAAGTTAAGGGTTCCCAACTGAACTAATTTCAGAATCGCGAGGGAAGAATCTTAAAATACAGGCTTTCCCAGCCTCACCCACGAACCAAAGAATAGTCAGTGCGGTTCCGAAGACCAGACAAGTTTGGAAACGCTGCTGTAGGGGAGGAAAACAAAAGGTCTTCAAGCAAATGAGTGAAACGTCTGAACTACGTTTTAAAATGCTCGTAAGTCCGAAGACAGCCTGAGGCTTGGGAAGACAGACAAGAGGCCACTGCAGTAGTCCAGGCAAAAGGCGGTGAGGTCTCAGAAATGGGAGAAATCGCCTTCATTTCGATTCTGGGTGCACACCTCGCTGTCCCGCTCGGTGAACCTCCCTCAAGGAGCGCAGCAGATCCGAAACGCGCTTTCTTACCCGCCTCATGCGACCGCTAGACAGCAGGTCGGCGATCCCCTTGGCCGCGTCGTTTTTCTCGGCTACACAGAGGACTTTCCGCACGCCTCGGAAGGCCACCTCCATGACGGCATGGGACAAGGCACGGCCTCCGGAAGGTGCCTGCCACCGGAGCGCGTAGCGGGCGACCGAGAGGGTCATTCCGAGACTCCGCGCCCGCAGCCGCTTCCCGAGTGCCTGTGCATGCTGGGGAAGCTAGCGGCGAGCCCCGCCCGGCGCCCACCGTAAGGGAACTAGAGGCTCCGGGAGTAGCCGGCGCTCCAGTTACCTCCGCACCAGCCCGCTAGGCTTCGGAGCTCTAACCACCACGCTTTTCTGTAGGCCCACGCCGCGGGCTCTGCCCCAAACCCGAACCTTAGCGTCCGGCTTCCGCCCGCCTTCTCAGGCCACTTCCGCCAGGCGCACGCTCTACAGAGACGGCGAACTACAACTCCCAGACGTCCCCGCGCCCCCGGGAACCTTGTCCACGTTTCCTCCCCGCCCACTTCTCTTTCCTCCCCCAAAGTGGTTGGTTATTCGGACTGGTCCCTGGGAGAGACCGCTGAACAGTCCAGTCCTTGGTGCTCTCTTTTTCACAGTCTTGTTCCTCTCCTGCTCGGAAGTCTGCGCGGACACTTCCGGGTCAAGCGGCAAAGATACTAGGAGTCATGTGATGCCAAGATGGCGGCGCCGCGGTAGCTGGCTCCAGGTTGTGGCGTCCTAGGATCCGCGACGGTTTCTGCCCTTGGGGCCGTGGGGGCGGCAACGCTTAGCTGACCCCTGCGGCGGCCCGTAGCTTCGCTTTAGACACCGGTTCAGGGCGGGGGCTGTTGCTTTCGCGGTGGGTTTGGAGAAGTGTAAGTGACCTCGCTGCAGGTTCCTTGTGCCGCTGCGCTTGCCTAAGGAAGCGGAGGAAGGAGAGCAGCCAGCCACTCGCGTCTTCTGGGCCTCCGGCCTTGGAGTTCATGAAACCTCGGGAGGAGCTACACCTCTGAGGGGGCCGCGAGAATTCGAGTCCTCGGGTGTGTGAGAAGCAGCCTAGGACCTCAGGGGGCGCAAAGAGGGCTTCAGGGACTTCGCTTCCTTCTCCGGAGGGCTAGCTTCCCCGCGTCTGTTAACCACGTCTTCTTTTCCACTTCTTCTCAATGTTTTCTCCGTATATCTGGAAATATGATCAGCGCCCCTGACGTAGTGGCCTTCACTAAAGAAGACGAGTACGAGGAAGAGCCTTACAATGAGCCGGCCCTGCCCGAGGAGTACTCTGTGCCGCTGTTTCCCTTTGCCAGCCAGGGTGCCAACCCATGGTCCAAACTGTCTGGGGCCAAGTTCTCCAGGGACTTCATTCTTATTTCCGAATTCTCTGAGCAGGTGGGACCCCAACCCTTACTGACCATTCCCAATGACACCAAAGTTTTTGGCACTTTTGATCTCAATTACTTCTCTCTGCGTATTATGTCTGTGGATTACCAGGCTTCCTTCGTGGGCCATCCTCCTGGTTCTGCATACCCCAAGCTGAACTTTGTGGAGGATTCCAAGGTGGTGCTGGGAGACTCCAAGGAGGGAGCCTTTGCATACGTGCACCACCTTACTCTGTATGACCTGGAGGCCCGTGGCTTCGTGAGGCCCTTTTGCATGGCTTATATATCCTCGGACCAGCATAAAATCATGCAGCAGTTCCAGGAGCTTTCGGCTGAATTTTCCAAAGCTTCTGAGTGCTTGAAGACTGGCAACAGGAAGGCATTTGCTGGGGAACTTGAGAAAAAGCTGAAAGACCTGGATTACACCAGGACAGTGCTGCACACAGAAACAGAGATCCAGAAGAAAGCCAATGACAAAGGCTTTTACTCATCTCAGGCAATTGAGAAAGCCAATGAACTGGCCAGTGTGGAGAAGTCCATTATTGAACATCAAGACCTGCTGAAGCAGATCCGCTCATACCCTCATCGGAAGTTGAAGGGGTCTGATTTGTGTTCTGGTGAGGTGGTGCATACCCAGGATCAGGCTGACCAGGCATCCACTACCTCTAACCATGATGAGTCTGCTAACACAGACCTTTACGCCTGCAGACCAGCTTACACCCCAAAACTCATCAAAGCAAAGTCCACCAAGTGTTTTGACAAGAAGTTGAAGACCTTGGAGGAGCTCTGTGACACTGAGTATTTCACCCAGACCCTGGCTCAGCTCAGCCACATTGAGCACATGTTCAGAGGAGACCTGTGCTACCTCCTGACCAGTCAGATTGACAGAGCACTTCTAAAACAACAGCACATTACAAACTTCCTCTTTGAAGACTTTGTGGAGGTTGATGACAGGATGGTGGAGAAACAAGAGAGCATACCCTCTAAGTCCAGCCAAGACAGGCCACGTTCCATGTCTCCAGAAGAATGCCCAATTCCTAAAGTGTTAATTAGTGTTGGTTCTTACAAGTCCAGTGTGGAGTCTGTGCTGATTAAAATGGAACAGGAACTTGGGGATGAGGAGTACAAGGAAGTGGAAGTGACAGAATTGAGCAGTTTTGACCCCCAGGGAAACTTGGACTACCTGGATATGGATATGAAAGGGAGTATCAGCAGTGGTGAAAGCATCGAGGTTCTGGGCACGGAGAAATCCACCTCTGTGCTGTCTAAGTCCGATAGCCAGGCCAGCCTCACAGTACCCTTGAGTCCCCAGGTAGTCCGGAGCAAAGCAGTCAGCCACAGGACCATCAGCGAGGACAGTATTGAAGTCCTCAGCACCTGCCCCTCGGAGGCCCTCATCCCTGATGACTTTAAGGCCAGCTACCCAAGTGCCATTAATGAAGAATCATATGCAGATGATAATGAGGGGGCTATTCACTTCCAGGCAAACGTGAGTCCTCCAGAGCTGGGTGAGGCAGAGGAAGGCAGCTTAGAAAACACCCCATCACAAATAGACTCCTCCTGCTGTATTGGGAAGGAGAGTGATGGTCAGCTGGTGCCCCTCTCTGCTCCAGTCCACACACACTCTGGTGAGCATGGAGTGGTGAGCATCCCCCCACAGCGCCACAGGCAGAAGGACCAGGGGTTCCACATGGACTTTTCAGTGGAAAACACCAACCCTTCTTCCCAAGACAATAGTTGTGAAGGGTTCCCTGCTTGTGAACTGGACCCAAGCCATCTGCTGGCTAGCCGGGATGTCAGCAAGACTAGCCTGGACTACTACTCAGACACCACCAGCCACATGAGCAGTGTAGCCTCCACCAGCTCAGACAGGATCCCCTCCTCTGCCCATCCTGCAGGCCTGTCTTCCGAAAGGCATAAAAAGAGGGCTGGCCAGAACGCCTTAAGATTCATCCGCCAGTACCCTTTTGCCCACCCAGCCATCTATTCCCTGCTCAGCGGGAGGACACTTGTCATCCTGGGGGAAGACGAGAGCATAGTCAGGAAGCTTGTGACAGCACTGTCCATCTTTGTCCCCAACTACGGCTGCTACGCCAAGCCTGTGAAGCACTGGGCCTCCCCCCCTTTGCACATTATGGATTTTCAGAAGTGGAAGCTTATTGGCCTACAGAGGTAACTGGATCCAGGTGGTGGGGAGGGGCCCTGGCCAGTTAGAGGTGAGGCAGGTTGGTGTGGTGGAGCCAGAATCAGGAGGCCTGGCTTCCAGAAAGGACCCAGCCCCAACTCACTGAGTTACTTTTGGCAACTCTTTCCCCTTGCACATCCTAAGTTGTTGCCAACCCCATCCTGTCCTCCTGCTGTGTCAGAATTATTTGGGAGCATTTTTAAAGTCATGGATTTTAACCAGGTGTGGTGGTGGGCGCCTGCGATCCCAGCTACTCGGGAGGCTGAGGCAGGAGGATCAGTTGAATCCAGGAGTTTGAGGCTGGAGTGAGCTTAATGGTGCCACGGCACTCTAACTGGGGCAACAGAGTGAAACCCTGTCTCAAAAAAAAAAAAAAAGGATTCCTGGGCCTCACCTTCAGAGATTTTGATTCAGTTGGAGTGAGGTAAAGACATGGAATTTACCTGGTGTACAGCAAGGTTGGGCACACCTGGACCTCAAGATCTTAGGTCCTTTCTGACTGTCACACTCACACTATGGTTTAAGTGGCCAAAGAGAGGCCTGCTCCTAAAAAAGGCTATGGTAGTGATAGAAAGGGTGGCCATTGCAGGTATAAGGGACATCTGGGGCTCCAGTGGCTTTTATTCCACTGTCCTGTTTGTTTTAAAAGCCTGTCTTAATGAGAAAAGGCCAGTGCAGTCCCTACTTCTCCCTTGAATGCTTTCTCTGTCATTTCCCTGGGTTCCTTGGGCTTTAGTAGATCTGTCCTTCTAAGTACTGCTTGACAAATTATGTCTGGCTCATGGGGCCTTCTCTCAGTACATGTCTTGTGTTTGGTTTCCTTGTTGTGTGACCTTAGGCAAGTCACTTTCCTTCCTTGCACCGCTTTGCTCATTTGTGTGTTTCTTTTTTGGAGACAGAGTCTTACTCCATCACCCGGGCTAGAGTGTAGTGGCATCATCATAACTCACTACAACCTCAAACTCCTGGGCTTGAGTGATCCTCCTGCCTCAGCCTCCCAAGTACCTGGGACTATAGGTGCCCAACACCACACCCAGCTAATTTTTTTTATTTTTAATAGAGATAGTATCTCACTCTTGCTCAAGCTGGGCTCAAACTCCTGAGCTCTAGCAATTCTCCCTCCTAGGCCTCCCAGAGTGCCAGGATTACAGGCTCTTGAGCCACCAGTTTGCATTGCTCATTTGTAAAACAAAGGTGCCCAGGTAGGTGATCATCAAAGTCTCTTCTGACACTGACAGGCTATATACTTCCCAAAAAGAAAGGACAAAGGTATTTTCTCCACCCTGCAACCAGCAACTGTTTGTTTTACTTTTCTGACTTAATCTTTTCATGAGTCCCTAATATCAATGAGGTCACTGTCTCTCTAGTCTTCTGTGTCCTGGAAGTTATAACTTCCATATCGACCTTCATAACCATTCCTGCGTTAGGCTTTACCTGGGGTCATGGTGCTGGGGTTAACAAATGTGATTTCCAAATCCTGGATTGAATAATTTATTGAGAATCCACTCCAGGCTGTGCTGATAGGGCTGGGTGCCAGCTGCAGGTACCTGAGCAAGGCCACTGCTCTGGAAGAGTTCATAGTGCAGGAGAGGAGACAGGCAGGTGACCACAGCTTTGCTAATTGGAAGATGAGAGTTGTAGTAGTAGCATCCTTCCTGTGTTGTAAGAATACCAAGGGAGCAGTTTAGTGACACAGAGGAAGGGAGGGAGACTGTGCCTAGAAGTCCTTGGTCTTTTGCTTGAGTGACCTTGAGGGTGGGTTGGGAAGCACAGGGCTGGGGCTGGGGGTGTGCTGAGGTGGGGACTTGGGATGGAGTGTTAGGGAGATGCCTGGAGAGGCGGTCCATGGCATTATGGGATGTTGTCCTGTCCTTGCCTCTGCCTCTGAACTCTGAGGTTTGGTGGGTTCAGGGTCCCTCCCAGGACACTGTCCCTCAGCACTGATGCCACCTACCTCTGTGCTCTCAGGTTTAACTAGTCTGTCCCAACAGGGAAGGTTTTTCCAGATTGTTTTCCCTGCTGTTCTTGTGGAAGGATGACTTGGTATCCCTTACACACACCCCTCTGTTCTCCAACTCCCCTCACCCCAACCCTTGACCTTTGACTTTGTTTTTTCTCTTACAAAGTAGAGCATCTAAATGACACAACTAGGGAAGGCTCATCAACATGTCAGTGTAAAAGGCTCATCCAAGCCTAAGCTTGGGAGGGGCTTGCCTTTTCCAGGGGTTTTTCCTGAATTTCCATCTCTAGAAGGGGCAGTTGGCTGGAGTGCTTTGCTAAGAAGGGTTCTGGGGGCTGTGCTGGGCTGAGCTATAAGGACTGGCCACGATCAGTTGATGTCTGGGAGGGTGCAGTGGCGGATAGCTGGCAGGTGGGCAGCATGTGGGCCCCGTGCGGAGGAGAAGAGGTCTGAGTTCTGGGGCCAGCCCTACACTGGCTCCTTCTCAGTGGGCACCTGGACAAGTCACTTCTCCACTCTAAGAAAATGAGAGGGTTGGATCACTGAGTGGTCATTTGCCCCATATTGAGGGTTGCTAAGTGCTAGATACTGCCCAGTGCCAGAATTGTAAGATGAACCAGCCATGGGGCATCCTGTGATGAGTGAATGTGCTCACTCCTGTCCTGCTCTGTCACCGTGCCATCAGCTTGACCTCTCTGTGGCAGTTTTCTTGTCTGCAGGAGCTGACAGGACCAACCTTGTGACAGCACATGTCACAGGGCATCTGATCAGTGCCTGACAAGTGTGAGTGCTCCTCTGACAGCCTAGCAGACCATGTGAGGAAGGCAGGCCAGGACAGCAGGATCTCAGACCCAGGGCCCATCGGAAGTGACAGCTGAGGTCTGCACAGACTCCTAAGGAGGGAAAGTGTCCAACTGCTTCTCCCATTAAATTCTCCTTGAACCTTCTGAGCACAGGTGTGAGGCATGGCGGGGTTGGAAAACCCGTGCCATTGGGGACAGGTCCCTGGAGGGGCTGCTGAGGGGCCAGAAGTGGAGTGGAGATGGATTGGTGACAGGTTTAGCCAAAGAAACCCTGGGAGAGATGAGCAATGGACGCGATGGTAGAGTGTCAGGAGATGAAACTGTGGCAGGAGCTGTGGCAGCCACGGGGAGCAGTGGTGGTCTGGGTTGGGTCCTGGTACTGCCAGCACTAGGCATGTGGATTCGGACCGCCCATCTCCCCCAGATGTGTTGAACTGTTGCGAGGGGCTCCTGGTGCCCACCTTCTACAGCTGTCGGAAGCCCTAGCGCGCAGTGCCCGCCTGAGAAGTGCTTAGAGACGGGTAGATGGGAGTCCCTCCAGCAGGCGGAGCCGGTGCTGACAGGCAGGCAGACTGAGGCCCCCTTTAAAAGTCACGAGGAGTAGGAGAGGTGCCTTTTTGTGGCGTGACCTTCCTGTCCTCAAAGGTATTGAGCCGTAGAGGGCTGCTCTTGTGTGCGGGCTCCATCTGGACTTCCGAGAACCATGGCCCAGGAGCGTCTCCCACCTCTGGTCCTTTGACTCCGCCTAAAACCAGCTGAGATGATGGACTGTCTTTAGGGACCATCTGTCTTTAGTCACCTCAGATTGGCAGTCTCAGTGGCCCTTGACGATGATTATTATTATTTATTTTAACTAAGGCCCTCTGCCTGAAAGTGCCTGTCAGTTGGATCAGCCATTTTGGAGGATAAGAGATGGATAAACAGGCCGGGCGCGGTGGCTCATGCCTGTAATCTTAGCACTCTGGGAGGCCGAGGCAAGAGGATTGTTTGAGGTCAGGAGTTAAGAGACCAGCCTGAGCAAGAATGAGACCCTGTGTCTACTAAAAATAGAAAAAAATTAGCCGGGCATAATGGCGAGCACCTGTAGTCCCAGCTACTCGGGAGGTTGAGGCAGGAGGATCACATGAGCCCAGGAGTTTGAGGTTGCTGTGAGCTAGGCTGACGCCATGGCACTCACTCTAGCCTGGGCAACAAAACGAGAATCAAAAAAAGAGAGAGATAAACAGTCAGGCTGGTCTCCTGTCATTTTAAATTAACACCAGGGATAATTGTATTGCTTGCTAAGCAGTAGTGACAAGCCCCAGACTGAAAAACTGAGCTCAATTCTGGTGAGAGAAAGTGCTAGCCCAGCATGGGTCAGAGGCCTGGGTTGAGTCCTGGCTTGGCCACTTACTAGTTAGGTGACCTTGGACAAGCCATGGCACCACCTGGGCCTCAGTGTCCTCCCTGCTTTGGGGTGGGCTGTAGCCATCCAGGGCAGGCATGGGAGGCAGAGGGTGAGGCACTCAGTCGGGGTGCTATGTAGCTGAGGGACAGAGGCCTGGGGCTTGCCCCTTCCCATGTCATCTGGCTTCCGAGGAGGAGCTTTTCAGGAAACAAATGCAGGAAGAGTTAGAAGCAGCCAGCATCTTCCAGAAGAAGTGGTACCACCACTGGGGGCGTGTCAGAGCTGTGTCACAGGAGGCTGGGCCTGAGAGTGGGTGTCCCACTAGAGACAGAGGCAAGAAGATGGGAGATAAGGCCTAAGGCCTAGGTGTATTGCTGTGGCAGAGCCCGTCTCAGACGGCTCCATGCCCTGGTGAACAGCTGCTTGCGGGCCCTGATCCTCCTGGTGGTCCACAGCCTACTGCTCTCCTGTAGTCAGGACTCATGGCCTGGGTAGGTCTTGGCTGTCGCATCTCTGTGACCGTGCTCTTGCCATGGTCTGCCACACCTTGTGCAGTCCCCGGAGCCCACCCTTTGCCCACAGCCCAGCTCTGAGGCCACTCCTCCACGAGCCCTCGGGTCTTCCCAACCACTTCTGCCCTCACCTTGCCGTACTTGTGTGCATTTGCATGTCTCGTCTTCCCAGTCATCCCAAGCTTGTGCAGGATGAAAGTTCCTGTTCATTCTTCATTGGTCTCAGCTCTCAGGGCAGTGCTTGGCATGTAGTAGATGCTCAATAAATGATTGTTAACTATACAAGAAGATAAAACCCAGGAAGGAAAATGTACTGTGAGATTCCCTCGAGGTATGTAAGTCTGTAAAATCTCAGCCAGTTGCCAGACCCTGCTGGCTAATCCCCACTTCTGGGGAAGCTGCTCTAGAGGAAGATTTTTAAGGCTCAGCGTCCCTCACTGGGCAAACACTGCCCTCCTGCGTCTGATGTGCCAGGTGTGGGGGTATGAGACCAAATCAGATACAGTCCTGGATTTCTAGAACCTCGAAGCTCCTTGTGTGGTGGGAGAGATGAGTGAACACACAGTAGTACCCACGCTCATCAGCTAGGCTGAAAGTCATGGAGATGAGGGTGGCAGCACCTACCGAGGGCCTACCCAGCTGAGGCTCAACTAATCGTGCCTGTGCAGCGGGCCCATGAGGAACTGTTCTCTCCATCTCACAGGTGAGGCTCAGAGAAGTTAAGGAACTTGGCCAAGGTCACAGCATCAAAGCAGAGGCACACAGAGGCAGATCAGGGAAGGCTGAATAAGGTTTAAACTGGCATGAGCCAAGCACAAGAGGGAGAGGGCATTCCAGGGAGAACAAAGAGTTTGGTGATTTTGAGTTGCTACTGAAAGCTTGACATGGCTCCAAAGGAGAGTCCACGAAGGGAAGTAATAGATGAGGCTTCAGAGGCCAGCAGCAGTCAGACAGGAAGGGCCTTGTGGCCCAAGCCAAGGCATTTGACCTTAGTCATGAGTGGTGAGGAGCCTTTCGAAGATCATAGTGAGCAGGTCTGCCTTCTGGAAAGAGCCAGTGTGTGCTGGCTGGGCGGGTGCCTCTGCCTCTGCCTTCCTGGCCCTTGCCCTTCCTCCTGACCTCAGCCTGTCTGTTTCAGAGTGGCCTCCCCTGCTGGTGCTGGCACCCTCCACGCCTTGAGCCGCTACAGCCGCTACACTAGCATCCTGGACCTGGACAACAAGACCCTGCGCTGCCCGCTCTACAGAGGCACCCTGGTGCCCCGCCTGGCCGACCACCGCACTCAGATCAAGCGGGGCAGCACCTACTACCTGCATGTCCAGAGCATGTTCACCCAGCTCTGCTCCAAGGCCTTCCTCTATACCTTCTGCCACCACCTGCACCTGCCCACCCATGACAAGGAGACTGAGCAGTTGCTGGCCAGCCGCCAGGCAAGCTTCCTGAAGCTGAACCTGGGTCTGGTGAACGAGGACGTCAGGGTGGTCCAGTACCTGGCCGAGCTGCTGAAGCTGCGCTACATGCAGGAGTCTCCCGGGACCAGCCACCCCATGCTCAGGTGTGACTACGTCCCCAGCTTTTTGTACAAAATCTGAGGTTGGTCCCAGCCACTGTGACCAAGACCTGTGACTCAGGGTATGGGGAGGGGTGGGGTTGGCATGACCAAACAGTTGCTTGAGCTGGGCTGTTGAGGTTTCTGGTGTCTGGCAGCTGTGGTTCAAAAGTGGCTCCAGGCGGAGGTGGCAGCCTGGCTCCCTGTGAAGGCATCTGGAAGGACAGTGACAGCTGCTCTCGATTCCCTTGTGAAGGTTGGCCCCCTGGATGGGGGGAGGGGTTGTCTTGGCTTACTGAGGACTGACAGCCAGGGCAGAAGAGAAGCTACCAGTCCCTCAGTGGGGTGAGGTAGGGTGAAGGGTGAGTGGGAAGCCCAAAGCTCTCGTGGGAGGAGCACCCTGTCCACATCAGCATCCCTGCACACTTGAGTGGCAAAATCAGCAAGAGAGGCAGCTGGTTAACTGTGATGATTTGGTGGAAAAGAGAGGACATGACATCCATCGCTGCATTCACCCCCAGCTGCAGCCCTTTATTTGGCCTCCTAGAGCCCATCGTCCTAGGGGAGGCCCCTGCACAAGCAGATGGAGGGGAGAAAGCCCCATGCCTGCTGGCGAGTGGGAAATGCACGATCTTCTGGGCCCCAAGGCACAAGAGTGTGAGCAGCACCCTGTCCTGTCCTCACCTCCACACCTGGGAGAGACATGACTGTGAGTGGGCATGGGGACTTACTCCCCATGTTCAGCAAGAATGAGAGGTCACTAGTCCCAATGTGAAGTGGGCACAGATGACCAAAGCCAGTGGTGAGGACCTTCCTAGGGGCCAGAGAGCACAGCAGACAGGGCAGGGCCCCTGTGCCATGAGGCCATCAGCGCTGTGCAAGAGAGGAACAGCCAGCAGCTCCCGGGGCCACCCACCAGCCTCTGTTGACCAGAAGCGTGAGCACTTCCCCTCGTGGGGAAGGTCTGCAGACCCACTGGACTATGGCAGAGGCCACACTCCAGCCCTCACCCATGCAAACTTTTGCAGCCACTTCACTACCTCTCACAGGGTCTCTTGGGCACAGTGACAGTGCAGTTCCTCCCAGCCAGCTGGTCCGGGTGGTCAGGCTGGCTGGTGAGAACTCAGATGGCAGGGATTTCCTGGACAAGCTCCTGCTTGGCACTCACCAGGATCTACCTTTTGGAGGCTGTGTGCACCTTGGTCCCCAAGTGAGTCCTCCCTTTGAGAAAGGAGTTTGAGATGAAAGGAGACGCCCCGGTTCCCCCTGCACCTGTCCTGCTGACGATGAGCCCCAGCCTCCCTTGGGCTCCTTACACAGTTGCTGCTGGTATGTAGATGGAGGATTTCCTGCAAGCTTAACAATTTAACTCCTTTATTTTTAAAGCTATATTTTCCCCCTAAGTGGGGATAGCTCTGGGTATTTTTAATTTGTTCCATGAAAATCGTGCTGAAGTGAACCCCAATCAGCCACACGTGCATCTGCTGGGGCCTGCCGCCGAGGCCTGGTCTGCCCGCACACAGGACAGGTCTGTCGTGGAGGCAGCCAGCTTCTCTTCTTGTCAAGGAGGCAGAAACCCTTGGTGGAAGCCGAGAGTGACAAAAGAGGGCTTGTGTCACATCACTCTTGTAGTCCCTGCCTTGCCCCCATTCTTGACACAAGGACACAGTCCATTGGCTCTGGCCATCAGCCCCCTGTCAGGGTATGTGATTTTGCTCCTGAGGCTATGACCCAGAACCTTTGTGGCAAATGGCATTGCCTACATCTCATCGGTTCTCTTTGTACCTGTTTCGTGGCACATGTTCACAGAGGAGTTGCCAGGAACACCTTGGCAGCTTTTAAATGTGAAATGTCCACCGTCTGCACAGGAGGCAGATTGCTCAGGAGGCCTGCCTCTCTCTCATGGGCTCCCTCATGTTACCACCCTACCACCCGTGCCTGTGTCTTCTAGACGCTGCTTTTGTTTTCTCATTGGCTAGCTAATTGGTGGGATGCCTCTAAGGACATGATCACGAGACATTTTATCCCGAAGGGAAGGCAGGCCAGAAAGAGATCACTGGTGCCAGTGCTATTGAGCTCCCATGTGTTTCACCGATTCAGAGACTCACAGCTAACACTGTTCTCACCTTGGAAATTTGCGAAAGGCAGAAGAGGGGTTATGGCCAGATGCTGGACTATAGCCATACTTGACCTTCTAGAAGCTAAATCTGTGCACTCAGTGGTCCTAAGGAGAAGTCCACTTGGGAGTACTTGCTTGGCATTTGGCCTCAAGGATGGTCCTGAGCACTAAGGCAAGTGGGAAATGAACAGAACAGACTATTCTGTGGGGCAGCCACAGAAATGGCAAACCGGGCAGGTCTCCCTCGAGATGAGTCTTCATTAAGTAAAGATGATTTCACCGACTAGTGTTTGAACTCCAGGATTTAGACTTTGGTTGAAAGCTAACTTTTCAATGTGGCACTTTAAAAGGATTACTTGATGCAAAGTATGTGTCCTTTCAAAGATCTTAAGGTACTAGGACTGAGTCATAACTTGGGCAGAGGAAGTTAACCGTGAAGCTCCTTGGCACCTGTCCACTCTGGGGAACTTGAACCTACAGAATTCTCACATCTCTAAACCTGAATGGCGGGGGAACATATGCCATGGGACTAGTCTCTTCAAGAATTTTCACTTGAGGTATTCTTCTAGTAAATGGTTAATATGTTTTAATGAAAACCTTTAGAAACTATACTTCCCAGAAAATGGATGACATCTGCACCCCTTCTTGCTGCTTCAGTCTGCTGCACTGAGGGCCCGGGTACTGAAACTGGTTGTCAGAGGTTTGTGTTAACTTTCCCAACAGCACATCACCCCTCCCCTTTTGAAGATGTCCAGGTAAAGAACCCCTTGGCAGGTGAGCAGGTGTGCGTGGGTGATTTTCAGGTGCTCTACTTTAGAGATCAGGCTGCAGCCCTTTGTAGCATGGGGCACGCCAGCCTGAGTTGCTGCCTCACACCTGTTTCCCTAGGAACTTCACTCCTGTGGTGGAACCTTTGGATTTCAGAAATTGTGACTTTTCCATAATTTACTCCAACAACTGAAGTTACACACATTGCTCCAGAATTTGGAAATAGACCTCAGTTAGCTTATCTGTCATACCCCATCTAGCCTTTTAAATTCTTTGCTTCAGATCAGTTGCTGTATTCAAAGTATAGTAGATTTCAACTCCACACAAGTAAGTCCCATTTCAAAATCCTAGGAAGGCCAGTTGATGCCACCCCAAGTGCCAGGGCTGCAGTTGAGCCACATGGTTCTGGAGGCTGAGAACAGCTGTCTGCTCACTGACCATCTTGCATGCATCCCGCCTGCCCGCTCCGCAGTGCTGAATGCATGCCCCAGGCCCAGCATCGCATGTGGGGTCAGTGTCTGTCACATCTGCGCCTATATAGCTGGTAGCACTATGTGTTGGGGGGAGAGATTCACCAGTAGGTGTGCAAGGCCTTTGGAGGAACTGAGCCCCAGGACAGGCAGGCAGATTTCTCCCAGCCTCCTGTACCTCCCACCTCCCTGAAAAGAAAGCTCAGAAGAAAGTGCCTTGGTTTGTCCTTTGAAGCAAACCAGCCAGCTTTCTGGCTTTGCCCAGTACTGTGATTGAAAGTGATAAAAACGCAATCTTTGAGAGACGATAAAAGAAAAAAGCATCAAATTTCTACTTTGGGCTGGAAAGCAAAACCAATTTCAGCTGATAAAGCTGAGCAAACTGAGTTTTCCTGATCCCATCCGTTCTCCTCCAGCACTACCTGATCTGGCCTTGACTGATTACGATTTGGCTACAGCTGTGGGAAAGAGGTGGCCAGGATGTGGGGAGGGGATGAGACTGCAGCAGATTGACCTGCAGTGTCAGCCCCACTTCCTGGCAGTGTCTGCTCTGCCCCAAAGCAGAGGCTGCAAACAGTGGGTCTTGGAGATGTCAGTTTGTCTTCGGCTGGGGAAAAGTGAAGCCCCAGAATTTAAGACTGCTTTGGGAGTGTATCACCTCCCAGTTTGAAGGCAGAGATGCAGGGACTGGATGGTCATCCACACCCCGCAGATTCTGCAGAAGCTGTCCCCACTATGGGGTAAACGCCAGCAGGCTGGACCCCAAGTTGCAGGGGCTGCCACCTGAAAGGTGGGACCACAGGGTGCCTCACCCAGGCTGCCCAACTCTGGATGGTTGGAGTCACAGATTGGATTGAGATAAATGCCACCCTCAAGGTTGCAGTGAAAAAAGCATAGTCTGTGATGAAGTTGTATGTTATTTTTAAAAGAGCTATTTTATTACTGCATGTTCCTGTTCCTGTCTGTGGATATGAGTCCCAACCACCATGTGAGCTGTAGTCGCAGTGGCTGGTGCAGGAGTGCGACTGACACATATGTGATAGCATCTCGTAGGTGTTGCTGCACAAGAGTTTAACCAGAGTCAATGCCAAACAGATATAGTATGAGATGTGTACTTTTTAAGAAATTAATTTATTTGAGTTCAGATATTTTTGGAATATAAAAATTGGTTGTATTTTTTAAAGCTATAATTCTTGTAGACATTCTGTGGTTAAAAATTTAATTGTGCTTATTAAAAATGGTCACCTATGTTTTGCACTTCAGCTATGTAAAAAATAAAGTTTCTTTGGGAAGGCGACATTTGGTTTCCTGTGTTCAGCAGGGCGTTGGTTATCTTAGGTGGCAGGAAAGCCCCTGGTTGATTTTCACACCAGATGGGACTGGGGCCTTCCCCCACATGGTGGGTGGAGATCATTTCTACAACGTACTCAAAGCTCCTGAAAGCAAAATCCTCCCACTGTACTGGGCACACAGCAGTGGCTTCAGAAGTTGTTCCCCCTTCAATTGTAATGGCTCTAATTCAGTTCTCCTTTGGCATCCACTGGATAGCGAGCTAGAATGGGCAGCATTCACAAGCCGTGAACTTGGTACTCTATTGCAGCAGGCAGCGGAGAGCCCAGTAACTCTGAGAAGGGTAGGCACAATCCTGGAATCCTTCTGATAGCTTTG